GAAGAGTCTCTAAGTCAAATCTCGCCACAATTGCCATGAGACTTCGCAGCGATATACCAGCAAGCGTTGAGGCATAGGTCTCTAGTTCATTTGTCGGTTGGAGATCTCCTCGAACACAGATCCTCGCTTTGAACTTCTTGAGATATCCTTTGCTGCCCTTATATGTGAATACCCACTTCAATGGGATAATTCGCTGAGTGTCTTGATCAATATTGCCAAGATCAATCATTTCAAACGTGCCCATTTGCCATAGTGATCTGTTCTCAATATTCATTGCAGCAATCCATTTGTGACTGTATTGGTGTTTGATCGCTTCACTGTAATTCTTTGGAACTGGTGGAAGTGTCTTTTGGTGTGGATTGCCTAAATCATCTGCTGATGCATCCCATTGATCTCTTCCTTTTACTGTATCCGTAGATTGCAGTGTGAAGTGGGATTCTCTTGCTCTTCTCAGTCTTTGTGATGATCTTGTTGCTTCTGGTGGCTGTTGATTTGTTTGACCAAGAGGGGCTGATCGATTGTAGATGTTGTGATTTCTGCTGCCACGAGGTCTTCCCCTTCTCGCTATGTTTGGGATTACTGTGGAGGAATCTTGTGGTATGATTTCTTCTGGTTCCAATTCTATGACTGGTGTCTGTTGTAGTTCGAGTCGGTCTGTTGAGGTTTCCTCTATGGTCTCACTTTGATCCGATTGTTCTGGAGTTGGCGATACTTCTGGAGTTTCTGGAGTCTCCCTCACCCCCTCAGTTGTTTGAGAATCTGACAGCTGTACTGTTGGTGATAGAGAAGTGGGTGTAGGTAATTGAAAATCCCCTGATTCTTTCTCCTGCATCGGTGTTGCCGGTGTTGTTTCTTGAGCGGCTGGATTCGAGGCGGGTAGTGGCCCGGTAATATTATCGCTGAAATCTTCTCCATCCCAGCCAGCTGTGTCTAGGTCTTGTTCAATTGGATTTGTGAATGGGATATCCATTTCTGTGAACTGGAATTCAAGTTCCATTTGGCTTAACTTGCTGGTATCCTCAATCCTTGGATCATACAGCGTGTTTTCGTCGAAAGTAACGTCTCTAGTTCTCATGACTTTTCCTATTGCTGGGATCCAGATTCTGTAGATATTTGTGCTGTCATAACCACATAGATAGCCAATATGAGCTCTTGGCGCAGTTTTGTTTGACTTTTCTATTCCTCTCTTGTAGTTTTGTGTCAAGGGGTAAGCTCTGCAGCCATATCGCCTCAAGTGTGCTAGTTGTGGCTTTTCAGCCCTCTTGTGGGTAGACTGTTGATGAGAGTTCAGCCAAGTGTTGACCAACCCCAATGGTGTCTGCCACTTGTGGCGTCTTCGAGGCAATCTGTTTGACAGATAAACTGCTGCTTTTGCCAGCTCTGGTGCCATCAATTCAGGAAAGCGAGATTGAAATCGAAGTGCTCTCATGATCATAAACACAGCACCTCCAGCTCTTTCTGCTGGGTTTTGAGCACCAGTGTACTCAGCTGATCTTTCAATCATATATCCATTCACAGCTGCCCATAGTTCAAACGCATTGCGTAAAGCAACCTCCCAATCTAGGCGTAGAATAGAGATTTTGATAAAGCACTGTCTCTCGAGGTATGCTGCTAATTCTGTCATAGCTTGTAGTCCCTCCTTTCGAGTACGAAGAGTTCTTATCCAGAAGAACCCTGACCAGCCATCGCTGACCAGCAGGATCACCTTCTCCCCATTGTATGCTTTGCTAAGTGTAAAGAAGTCGAGAGATAGATAATCTCCTACAGCAGTTGGCCAATGGTCTGGGTTTCTGCGGGAAATTTGGCGAGTTGCCTTCCCAACAGCACAGGCATCACATTCCACTTTTGTGATTCCTTTTATCTGTATCCCAAGAGCTGTTTTAAGTAGCTGTTCCAGTCCCTCAGCGCCTGGATGACCAAGTCTCTCATGCCACAACTTGGCTTCTGCTGATGATGTTGGGAGTGGTTGTCTTGTTGACTGAAAACCTTTGGTTGGTTTCCTTTCTACGGTTGGGCTGAATCTCACAGTCTTCTCGGTATTGCTGAACGAGGTATTGTTCAGCAGAGCTGGGCCAGCTTCAATAATGTATTGACCATATCGGTTTGGTGTTTTGAATAGAAGTCTGCCTTTTGAGTCGATAAGACCCGGTATTCCTGTTGTAAAGATGATCCCTTTTTGCTTCAGCGGTTCTGTCCCAAGGAGCGATGTTGGGTATCCAGGCACAAGCCATACATTTCTGACTTTGATCTCCTTGTTGTTGGATTTGCCGCCTTGGTTTGGTTTGATGATCATTGTGCCTTTCGCAATTGCATGTACATCTCCTCCTCCAGTGGTGAAGTCTTTTGTGACTGTGTAGTCGAGATCATGAAGTCTTGAGGAGTCGTTGCAGATGTGGAATCCTGTTCCTGAGTCTACTATCACACTGTCTGACAGTGGGAATCCTGAATAGAGACTTGCTTCTCCTTGATTGACGATAGTGACGAAAGATGAGAGTGATCCTTCTCCATCAGACACTTCTTGAGTATAGTGGGATGATGATTGTGTAGTGTTTCTCCAGTTTGAGGAAGATGTTGCTCGATCTGGGGACTTTTGAGACTGCTGATCGCTTGCCCCTTTTCGTAGTTTTTCAACTATTCTCTTTAAGTGTGGTTTCTTCTGGAGATACTCATTCAATCTTTCCAGTGCTTTCTTATTTTCTGGATTATCTTCATGATAGTTTGGGCCTCGCTTCTTAGGGTTGGCATGTTTGCAATCAACAAATCGGTGACTTTCGTTTGGGCAAGCTGCACACTTTTGCTCTCGTTTTGCCCCCTGTTTTATTCCTTGTTCGTTTTCTCCTTGCCAAGTAGCGAAACTCGTGTCTTTTAATGGAGCAGCATTCAGCCAGTCTGGGTGGAAAGTTCTCACCCAACTGCGGAAATCGTTAGCTTGCTCAATTCCAGCAGTCTTGCTGATCGAACTGTAGGTTGGGTCATCCTTGTATCGCTTTGTGAAGTCGTAAGAGGCAGATGTGTAGTAATCTGGTGCAATTTGCTTGACTGCTTTCAAGAACTCAGAGACTTGAGTAACTGGATCGCTGAGAGCAGGGATTCCGATTGTTTGGGCTTCATCCATGATTTCTCGATAGATTATGAGCCATCCTCCAAGTTTTGCTCTTTTGATTGATAGCATATGCTTGTTATATCTTTCCAATACCATTTGTTGTCTCCCAAAGTTGTCTGGCGCTAGCTGTTTTTCAAGAGCTTTTATGATATCCCTGACTGTTTGCTCCTTGCTGACTTGGCTGATATAAGTGGCTGCTACAGTGTTCATGATCCAACTGTGAATTTCTAGAAGACTTCGCCGAACCTGGTTGTATTGGTCTTTTTCTTCTTGATAGATAGCTTTTCCATAGCTGATAACGTTGCTATAGTTTGCTCGTTCTTCTTGTCTGAGGTCTTTTGGGTCTGGGAATTCCAATCTTGGCTTAGTATTAATCTTGGTTCCTTTTGGATTCACATAGTCCCAGACTTCATGAACGTTTGCCAGCATCTGTAAGTTGTTGAACCAGTGGTTCCAGTCGCTGTCAGTCTGTAGCCGCTGTGTGTATTTTGCAGTTTCCGTAGTTGAATTCATGATCTCTCTTGAAAAGAGAACTGGTCTCTCTCTTCTGATCGTTGTGCAGTTGATTTTTCGCCGTGGCCAAGATTGAGTTCGTGACTAGACACTTCTTGTTTCAAGTTGGTGATTTTGTCGATTGTTGCCTAGAGGTTTGAGGGTATATAGCCAATCTCAACGCCTCAATTCTCAACAAAACGCAAGACGCCCCCCCTGTCTAATGAACCTGCCGTTTAGTGTAGTTGGTCTAGCCACCCAACTTGTAGCTATTCGCAAGGACCGTAAGACTGGCAAGCTCCCCTTCGTGGGTTCAATTCAGGGTTGTGGAGTTTTCGCAATTTGTAAAAAGTCTTATCGGTTCCGTTACACGAAGACTATAAAGTGAACCACCTGTTCGTCTTATCTGCCCGAAGCTTTCAGAGGCATAAAATGAGCAACTAGGTGTCTCTTCCGTTTCGTAATTCCAACCCTCCTGGCTGCGTATCAGTGGTATGGTCGAGCATGAACTTATATAAGGTTCAAGTTAAGAGTCCTGGGTTCAACTCCTCAGATGTGGTAAGTCCCCCTGAGTTGAGATGAACTTTTTGTGATTTTTTGATAAGTGTTGATGATATGAATTGATGACCAGAAGTTCTTTTGTGATTGAATGTTTCAATACTTCAACGTTCAGCCTTGTGTGATTGGAATTGATGTTTTGTTTGGTGGACTTGACTGCCAAAGTCTCATGGGTCGGTAACTTCGTCAATTGAGTGCCCTTGTCTATGGCATAAGTCTGAACTGCTCCCTTCTGGAAGTCGGTTTTTCAATTGGTAATTGTCACCATGAGGTACTGGGCTCATAACTGTCACGCAGTCAATTTGCCCACCACTTATGGGGTAAAAAAAGATGCTTCCATTCCTTAGAGACTGTCTAGGGGTTATTGGGTTGATTATATAACCGTCTATTCGGTAATTACCGATTTGAAGGTTTTCATGCACAAAATGACATCCCCGTTAGTTTTATATGGGAAACAATAGCCGGGTGCATGGGTTGAATGCATGCCCCGATATATGCAGTGGTCCGTGTGACACTAATCAAGAAAGTTAAAAGAAACGAGAAGAGGAGATGAAGGGAGGAGGGCACTTGGAACGACATTACTTGCGTGGAGAAACTCAGCTGATTTGGCGCTTCACTACAGTGGAAGTTTCTGGGCAGTTTAGACAGAACGAAACAGCACGCAGATGGGTCTGTGTCCAACAACTTGGATAGCCAAGCACATTGACAGAGTGACGTCATCATCAGGTGAACTCAGGCACTCGTCCGGTTTGATGGAATCAAGAAGAAATGTTGGGTAAAAAACACCTGCTACAGCTGGCAGACCAAACATTTTCTTCACATCTACAGGCTGTAAGATAAACTCATCATGAATATTGACATACCGAATCTGGTCAAGGCCGCCGTGCCGGAATCTGAAGGACGCAATGCGCGCATCATCTCAGACAACTGGAACCGCCCCGGCTACAGAGATCCTAATTTTCTATCCCAAGATTTCCCGAGAGCGCGACCGAAGCTCTATATAAGTGCGGAAAGTGATGATTTCGATCAGTTAACGTTAGCTGAATGGCGTGACGAGGGCTTCGATGTAGAATATTTATCCATGGGAAGCAGCGCGGAGGAATACCGGGGCAAGCTCCGATCGTTGAGCAAAAAGAAAATGGGACCCTGCGAGACTTTTGGAATCGTCGGTTCGTAACGAGTAGTGACAAAGACGATGGTGCGTACAAGTCAGCTAATAGTTGACAGCATATGGCGATGCCGCAGCCGTCTGCATGGAGCACTACCATGTCATGGACAACAACCCAGAGTTCAAACTCGGACTGCTCATCGCGTACTATCCGACAGCCATTCCAGACCCTAAAGGGCACTTCCCCAGCAGCATCACGGCTCTGGTTCATCTCGCTGCAGGTGAGGAGATTGGCATCACGAAGCAGAGTCAGATGGTAGGGATACAAGGCAAACGGCGCACGACTCGCAAGAAGGTGGAAAACGGCATTGGTACCGGAGGAACACTGCGACTCGCATACCCGACCTACACTTACGACGCAGAACCTGGTTTTGCCGAGCATGACCTGGACGAGTACAACAAAGTTTCTGCTGAGTTGGCATGGAGTCGGAGCTTAGGTGTGGCGAGAAAAGCGTTCAACAACCACGTCGACTTAGAGCTCGTGTTGGAAGAAAACGTACAAGGTCAGTATCTCAAGTCGCTTTTTTTAATCACTTTGAAGTTGGATTTATCACTTGTGAAGACTATGGGAAAGCCTTGAACTAAGACTCCGAGCTAACTTGTGCGCAGGCAAATTCTTCACTCGAAACCTAAACCAAACGCTTTCAACTTACACAACACACAAAAGCCCTCACGTAACTCACATCCCGACTTTGACGGGAGGAATCGGAGCATCAGAGCTCGAACGTTTCTACTCTCAGTTCTTCAGCAACCCGCCATCGATGAAACTGACGCTTATTTCCCGCACCATCGGTGCTGATCGGGTCGTCGACGAAGTTCACGTTCGCTTCAAGCATACTGAGGAGATGCCGTGGATATTACCAGGTGTCCCAGCCACAAACAAGAGGGTTGAAGTGCTCGTAGTCAGCATCGTTGGGCTGAGAGGAGGCAAACTTTATCACGAGCATGTGTATTGGGACCAAGCCAGTGTTCTGGTACAAATCGGTTTACTGGACCCAAAGCTGGTACCAGAAGCGGCACGTAAGAATGGAGTGCAGAGATTACCGGTCGTCGGAAGAGAAGCTGCGAGAAGGGTGCTGAGAGGGTGGGACCCCGATGAGGAAGGAGAAGCAGACAATGAACTGGTACCAGGTTGGAATGAGAATGAAGATGAAGATGAGCGAGACGAAGAGGAGGCGAATAAGGACCATGAACAACACAAGAAGAAAACTTCGGACGAAAAAACACTGCCCGAAAGGTCGAAATCGTCCACAAAAGACACTACCAGCACGTAGTGGTTGGAGCCGTAATGAGCACCGAAATGATTCTCAAAATTTGAACTTTCTTTTGAATTCACAGACCGAAAGCTATAATGCTTTTTGTCTTGACCTCAATCTTTCATGTTGCCTTGATACTAGCCAAGTATAGTCGCTATGGTTTTAACTGTATTGATGTGAGAATATGGCTGTTACAAACATAGTAAACTCTGGGTATCAGTCTCTAGAAGGACTGGTGTAGGAAGATAGAATATAGTAGTTTCAGGTTTTACTCGGTTGCATCTAAATATTGCTTTCTTTCTATTCTACCTGTGGTCATGGATCAGCATCGATAGTGTAGGACCCAGCTTCGTGGGAGTCTGAAAGTTTGCTGTAATTATTGCAGAGTGCTCGGTGGTTACAATACTTACTAGTTTAGAATCTCTAGTAGCTAGGGTTTTGTCTGAGCAACGACCTCTTTTTCCAGATTGGTGTACCCTAACTGCTCTGGTTGAACAGTCGTAAAAGGGGCACGTCAGCATAAAAAGAGACTACCGCAGTGATTTTGTTTGATGTAAATTTTGGGCCGAGGCGAGATTCCTGGGTTTGAGCAGGCTTACAGCCAGTCTGGGCCATAGAATCATCATCGATCAGAACTGATACAACTATGTTAACCCTATCGAGGCTTTCGGAGCTGAAATGGACTATTTGGGACAACATAGGTAAAACATTTCATAGATGCCTACTTTGAGACCCTTAAGTAGTCTGATAGCTTCTTCTTATTTGCAACAAGGCTTTCTGAAACTGTTTGTTTAAGGGCTTTGGGGAGTATCCAGTTGCGATGTGGCAGATATGATGGTTATTTGCTAGTTTCAGGGTGAGTGCCTGATAGGCTGTCGGGCGTGAGGCGAAAGAGCATTGCTCCTGGCCAGCTGCCGGACTCTCTTTGTGGATACCGAAGAAAAACATAAGGTCCTCCGGCTGGGTCTGGGATTGCGAGTGGGCCGGAGTGCGGCTCTAGACCAGGACTGAGGTCGCAACTTCAGCTCAGTTCCGGGTCAAGATCGGAGTAGCTTCGTTATCCACGAGTCTCTTCAGAGCTTTAATCACATAGATGGAAGTTTTTCGCGACCTGCCTTTATGCCCCTCAGGATCTTAGACCAAACGGTTAACAGACAGGGATTATTGTAGGCACTGTAAAGTCTAGTCTGTTTGTCAAAAACGGCCTCCAATGCATGTGGTGCTAAATCTCCTACTCCATTAAGATGTAGCAACCGTATTACCGTACCAAATTAGTATAAAACAGACTAGAATGATGTCGACAAAACATTTATCGCCTATCAAGGCTACAGATGCTCTACAGCCCGTCCCGCCTTTCAGCCCACATGGATAACCATCGTTAAGAGACCGTATTGTCACGCCTAGTCCATCAATCTGTAGAGCTTCACAGTAACAGCCACCTACGATAGTCACCAATAACCTGCTTGGAAGTTTATCAGTTGAAAAAGTTTTGGAACATTCATGTATTCAATAGTGTACCTCCGTAATACACCGCACTTTAGATTTTCAAATCCCTGCACGCTGCAAAGATTCCAACGCTAGCACACGATGGACAAAGAAAAGAAAAAAGACTTGCAACCCACAATTTGATTGCAGGCAATTGGAATGCCCAGAGGCGGATTCGAACCGCCGTCAACACGGAGCGCTGTGTGAAGAAGACCACAACGTATCATCCTAACCAACTAGACGATCTGGGCGATTCAATTGGTGATGTGATGGGCTCCGGCTAGTGGTGGCCCCAAAGTGCATCCACCTCGTGTAAGGAGTGGAGTCAGCCGTACTCCGAAGATACATTGGATAACGACCGGAGCAAGTCGGTGGCTTTGTACGATAGTGGAAGACTGATGGACACAATGAAATTCCCTCGAAGAAACAAAACCTTTTTTGAGCTGATCTCGAAGTATCAAGCCACTTATTCAACTATGGCTGGTGCTCATTAACAAGAGGATATGGTCTATGGTCTCGTAGGAATAACAAACTTATTTTCCATAAGCATTGCTTTCAAGTCTAAAACTGAGGGAGTTGGAATCACACAAATATTGTATCTTTATTACTGAATAATCGCTCTCGTCATCTGTCGTAAGCAACCTGCAACTATATACACATGAACTTGTATTGCATGGTGTCACATCAAACCAGACCTCTTGATTCTCAAATTGGTGATCACAGAACGTCAAACTCAAGAATCTGTACAGACCAACTGCAAAATTCACAAGAAACTAAAAGAAATAAACACCGAGGTAACGGAAACAGCTGCAGTCGCTATTTTCGCCTGCTCAACGTCGTCGTTATGAGATCCTTGTAAGGTGTGTCTGTCCGAGCACCAGAATAAATGCACACGGTCCTGGCGTATCGCCGTTCCTATGGTTTCCTTTAATATGCTGTTTACAGACAGTGCAATTGTTTGAAGTTTCACAATTAATCCCACACGTCATGAACTCTATTCAACGACTGCCATACTTTCTCCCCACTTTCGTTGACTCCAACATTTTGAGCACTACATTGTCGCCAAAAAACACAAACTGTGGCATCATGCCTTCTACTTCTCCGCCTTGAAGGGCGCTTCTTGTATATTCACATCTGTTAGTCTATCGCTGCGGCCGTTAGATCTGACATTGGCACGATGGCCAGTGACGACACCGTGCGGCTCGTGGAAACGGCCGAGCTGGCCGTGAGGATCGGGTCCGATGAGACCGTCATCCATCCGCATGCCGATCATGGACCGGCAAAGGAAGAACACTGGAAAAGTGAATCATATCTTGGAAGTGGCGGAGTTGGATTGGTATTTCGGGAGAAGTGTGTCGTGGGACCGTCATTTGGCCAACTAAGAGCTGTCAAGGAGATTCCGAAGCCAAAAAATCAAAAGGAAGTTGACATGGACATCATGAGTGAACTCACAGGGCTGATTACTTTTTCCCAACCAGAGGTAAGGATTTGTTTCAACCTCGTCTCCTGTCTCTTACTAATACGTCCTTCATAGTATGAGGCATATTTTGTCAAAACATTAGGTTGGTATCAGACTTCATTAAAAGTTTTTGTTGCTATGGAGTATCTACCTCAAGGCAATTTGCACGCCCATCTTATGGACCAAGGTCCGATTCCTGAAAATGAAGCGAAACTTGTCATTCGGCAAGTACTTCGCGGTCTCACTTACATACACCAACACAATCTAGCACACCGAGGGATAAAACCATCTGTATGTAACCTCGCATTTATAACTCTTCCTCGCATTCTGTTAACGTTCACAAGAACCTAGTGATTCGAACTCAACCACCCGGCCAGGAGTGGTGGGTCAAAATTGGCGACTTTGGAATCAGCAAGAGCCCAAGACGTACCGTCAGTATGTCACTGGCAGCCAGTGAAACCATGGGCTTTTTGGCTCCAGAGATTCTCGGGCTGTGTCCTGCGGCCACTGATCTCCCAAGTGAGACTGCGGCTCAGAAAAGCGACATGTGGGCTGTTGGGGAAACCCTACATTTCATACTCACATGTGCCCATTCTTTTGGCCAGGATGTCGACGCTCTCCAGGACTACACCCAAGATCGTCGATCTTTTCCGAATGAAAGACTCCAGGGACAGGGAATCACATCTCTCTGCGTGACATTCATTCAGGGTCTGATGTGTTCACAGCCGAGTCTACGTCCGGGGCCCGAGCAATCCCTCGATCATGTTTGGGCTAGGATGCCCAACCACTACGCCACATCATTTTCTCGATTATGTTGCATGATACGATGTCGAGGGTTAGAAGCGCCTTCGATGGTATTCTCCCGCGACGGGGAGCGACTTCTCGTCGTATCCCCAGAGAAGATTTATCTTGTCGAATCCGCCACAGGAAACGTACTCAGAACCTACGAGTCCTCGAATCGAACATTTGTGGCTGCAGCAATCTCGCCCGATGATAGGTTTGCTATGGTATTGGAGGACTCTGGTCGACTGAATCGCTTTGAGGTCGCGAAGTTGAAGCTCCTAGAAGAGAGAGGACCGTTTGGAAAGATGCCTGCCGGAGACTGCTTCGTAACCTACTCCCACGATGGGCGATGCCTGGCGACCGCACATAAAAGCAACATTGTTATTTGGAACCTAAAGGGATCCGCTTTGCCAACAGCTGGAACGTGGCGTACGGGCAACTTCACTGTTAGGTCAATGCAGTTTACAACAGACGACAAGTGCATCATCCTCGCTCTGGATAGTGCAGTCTACATCATGCCGATCATGCCTGGCTTCAACAGGCCAGGCTACAAACTTGGAGAAGAGATGATCAAATATCCCATTCCTGGGTATGTCTCTGCTATTGCGCCAAACGGTGTTGACTTTATGCACTGCGACGAGAATCATATTTACCTTTGGCGGGATAGCGCCCATTGCTGGCGAAGGCAATACTATCATTCAGTGCCCTTCCAAAGGGCTTCTTTTTCGTCATCTGGAGCCACAGTTGCCACGATAGACGTTCAGGGAAAAGTAACACTTTGGCGGGCAAGAAGCATGAGTGAAGTCGGGTGTCTTAAGTTTCCAGAAGACTTGGTTTTCAAACTGACAGTGTCACCGCCGGCGGGGAAGTATATTGCCCTGGGGATAATGGACCATAAAGGACCGAAGGTTGTGGTGAGGGAGATTCTCAGTTATGATTGATTGATTGATTGATTGATTTATTCCTACTCGGTTATGAAGCCGCTCTTATGCCAGCAGCTATGCCCGGAAAGCGGGGTTTGGCAGGTAGCCGAAGCGTCGACAATGAACAGCGACGCCCCACTTCGCCCTGATGTTGCATCAGGGCCAGCTATCCCCAAGCTCCCCACTATGTTCTCTATTCTGTGTGTTTGTGCCCTCTGTTGAAGAAGTGTGTTGCTCTCCTGTCTGCTTTCTCGCTTTTGTGTTGCTCTCTAGAATGCTTGTTTTGCGTCCTCCTGCTTCGGTTCAGTTGGTGCTGGTAGCACCGTATCTGGTTCTTTGTACCTACAGTCTCCCCCCAGCGCTCAGCTTTGTCTCTTTGTTTTGTCCGTATCCTCCCGGACTTGTATGTGCCGTTTTCTCAGTTGCATCTGTAAATTCTTTGTTGCCTCCTGCCGGGTTCCTATGTGGCCTCTTGTTTCTTGCCTGTTGACCACTATTGCCCTCCACCACATTGGCCCAAGGGTCTTCCACGAAGCACAATGCTCCACTGACTCCGACATGTTCGATTACTGGGTATGAGAGCTCCCGCACAGATTCCGCAGACATTGTCGCGCGTTGAAGGGACACCAATCCTTCTTCGCAAAAGGGGCGACAGGGGACCAGTCTGTCTGTGGTCTGTAGTATTGTGTGGCATCGATCGTAGCATGCCTAATGCCTGGTGCTTTCTCCGTGCGGAAGGTGATACTGTTCTGTCGGACTCATCTTCGTCGTTGTGGGACGTTGCAAACTTTGTCGGGGGTGACAGGTGACCCAAAACCTGTCGGCGGCTGTTGTGTTGAAGTTGATTGTTTGGGCGCAGTCTTAGTGCTTCGTGTAGCGGCTTGTGGCTCGCCTGTGGTGGTGGTAACAGTGTTGTCTATTGATATGTCGTATTTTGCGGCTTGCTCTCAAGTTTTTCATTGTAGTCGGGGCGTGCTCTGCGGCCATCTTGGGCCCCTTTGGGACGTAGAATCAAGGCCGAGGATGGCATTGCATCGAAGGGGGCTCTGTGGCCGCGAGCACGCGTATTTGGGGCCGTTTTTGCTCCGATTTTCAAAAATTTCGTTCTCGCTGTTGTTGATGTTTTTTATTCTCAGTTATGTACCATAGGTAAATGTCGTGATGCCTTCGAGGCGAAGTGCGCAGCCTCACCATCACGTGACCCACATATCGCCTGTGGGGATAATCCCGAAATGGAATGACCGGAATATCTTTATTCCGCTCCGCCCACAAAACATATTTAGGCACAATATCGTTCCATAGTGTAGTTAGGAGAAGACAAGCCACTCAATCTACTACTTTGAATACATGCCTACGTTCAGCACTTTGCTTCACCACAGTAAACAAACACACTTTTGAATATTTGTCTACAGGGATGGCCGTAAGGGCACACACGATGCCCGAGGGCAAAAATGAACAAGGCTGCCTCATGCCTGAATCGAACAGGCGATCTTCTCATTACTAGTGAGACGCTTTACCACTGAGCCAATGAGGCTTTTCAACACTTTGTTGATGTTGCCGCGAGAAATAGTGGTTATGTTGTTAGGTTGAGGTTGTGTGGATGTCCCACTCGGGGTTGGGGCTTGAAATGGGTCATGTCAGGGCTTATCAGTGATGATGTGGAGCGGTTACCTTGAGATTTTTTTCAGGTGGGTTTGCCAGTCTAACCACATAGACTAATGGGATACTTCAAGCATCCAAAAAGGCCTTTCAAAGCTAAAGCACGAAGCTCAGGTATTCAGTTATGCTAGCACAGTCCAAAACCCCAATGGTACACACTCAATATGATAAGCTTAACGGCTTAAGAACTTGGAATAAGAGCCTAGGCTTGCTGTTCAGCAATTATCTGAGCACCAGTTTCATAAACTACGTTAATCTCCATAGCTCAACCTCGTGAAGCCACGAGGCACTCGCTTGATTAGTCTTTGCAGGTTTGGAAGGTATAATTGCTTCAGCTGTAGTCTATGTATGAAGTGGGACGAGGTGATTACAGAATTCTCTTCTTGAGGTAATTTTTCAAGGACTTTCAAGTGGGCATTACTCGAATGCTTTGAATAAAACTAATTGTAATACAACGACCCGAACGCGTCTGCCTAGTCAACTCATCGGTTGCACACACACAGTACAGTGAAGATAACCATAAAGGCGACTTTTTACACAGCGAACATCCTGAAAGCCTCAGAAAGTCATCCGGAATTTTAAAGAATCTTTTATAACGTTATTAGCTTGAAAGAAGTCTCAGAGACTGTTTCGTAGTCGTCATATCGTTAAAGCCTTCTTATCTTACGTTAGAATAACCAAGACTTCATTCCCACTTCAGTTGATCCAGGTAACTAGCTTGCAGCCTTGAGTTAACTCAATCCTTTTTGCTTTCAATCTGGCCCTTGGTGTTCCATCAAATTGGAACTGGGCATCAAAACATGGGTGCCAAACTCCCCAGCCCACGATTGGCCGGAATGGCCCAGATATACCTTATTGCAAAGAAATATCCGATGTCTTTTAAAACTCAGATATAGAAGCTTTGTAGAATAGCCTTGATAGACTGTGCTTTAGGCTTTGACAGCTTTTCATACCGTGTCCCATCCAAACATCTGTATAGTCGCTTGGTCAGAAGACTGCAAGCTCAACCCCTCTACATCGCGCGGCCTCGTCAATATCAAAAGTGTCTGTACCCTCCTTCCAACTCTCGTCGAGAACCTCGTCAATCATCTTCATATTATGGAACGAATCCTTGTTGAGGAATGAAAGTCGCAAGTCGCTAATCAGCTGCTTCCAATCGGGGTGCGCAGCTAGTAACGGAACTTCCAGGCTGGCTATGACCATCGGATAAATAAGCCCATTGTGAACGAGGAGGCGATGGTTTGCCGGTATTTCGATTGCTCGGAACAGGGAGTATATAGATGCCATCAGGCGGCACATGACAAGCTCTGTCGGGGGTGATAGAGGGACACCTTCCGCACAACCATCGGAGCAATCCGCGTGGGGTGCCTCTTTGGCCTCCTTTTTGCGTTTCAGCCTTTCCAATCTTCTTGCATCCAAGACTGCCGTATACCTCCAGCAGTCCCAGAGAATGCATTGTAAATGCAAGCCCATCTCGCCCGGCCAAGCCCAGAGCCGGGCCTCAATCTCTAGCCTTTCACTGTCCATGATATCAGCTAGGATATCTAGAAATGACCTCGGCAGTCCTGTTACAACCTCGATACCGCCTAGCCTTCCTCCTTCCCAGCTGTCTTGCAGCTTGCGCAATTGACGCCACACACCCATACTAGTGTGTGATCTCCCTATCACAGAGGTCTGCAAGTCCATGACGGATAAGACTTCGATGGAGTGACGTGTCGCGAAGTCATGGTCGGCAGACGGCACCAAGGTATCCAACGTCGTATCAAGACGATATAAACCAGCCATGAGCTGAAGATACATGGTCCAGGGACGAGCCTGCAATAACTATGTAGCTGAAGTTAGCTTCAGTAATAACTCGGAAATGTCACAAATCATGAGAAGGCCTGTGGGCGAAACCAGCACAGAACGCTCAGAATGGGAAAAGTGGTGTTGTTGGTTGGAAGAACTAACTAACTGGCTAGAGGGCTGTGGAGGCTGGCTAAGACCAGTGGTGGCGGCCGTCAGCCCACGTGACGGGCCGGCGAGGCCTGCCACCCACAAGGCCTATAGCTTGAAAACATATGCCCGGGATTATACGTACACACAGTGTGCAAACAAGTATGCCGGCAGACAGAGTAGAGGCATCCAGTGAATTGTGTCTCTCTTCCAACTCCGCTCGGAAAATTTGAAGGGCATGGTCAACATGTTCCATCGCTGTCACAGAAAAGCCGTCGTCCAGGTATGCTTGGATGGCAGTGCAGACGACAAAGAAAGCTTGGCTCTTGTCGGCCATTGCTGAGAAGTGCGACTGGAGCCAGATGTGGCTCTCTGTGGTGTACAAGCGATGTAGTCCTGAATAGAGAACTTGAGGCACGGGTAAGTTGCGAATCATGTCGCTGGGCTATCAAGGATTGATTGACCTACATTTTTTGAAAAGCTGCCGTTTTGGGTCATTACTTGCGCCTGGTGACTCCGTCAAGGCCGAGCTGGATCCGGATTTTTGATCGGAGCCGATCCGCATCATGACTTCGGCTTGGGGGGATTCGGAAGAGGAGGTAGTGGGCGGTGGTGGGCCTGTAGCGCTTGGCATGCCCGTTGTGAACCTTGCCTGGTCGGAGGCCGTGCTGGAAGCAGAAATGTCAGGGATAGCCGCTCCAGCAAAGCGGCCGCGTGAGGCTATTCCGTTGGTCCACTTGAGCGGAGTGTTGTAGCCCTCGCACTGAATTCCACGACGCTGACACGCCCGGCAGTCTGGACGCGTCTCGTCGCATTTCCGCTTCCGCCGCTTGCAATTGGAGCAGCCTCCCCTGGAGCGGACCATGATTGGCCCAAGGCGCCTGATGGTCGATGTTGGTGCAGCTGCAATTGATTACAAGTGCTTATTTTCGTGTGGAGTGCCCGGATGTCCAGCAGGATGCCAGGCCAACTTTGAGAGCAGATATGTAAGAAGCAAGTATTCTGAAGAGGCAGAAGAAACCGATGGCGCATATGTATGCCTATTAAGGTATGGCTCAGACGCTTTCTTCAGGGGGTCCAAGCCTAAACTATGACAAAATGCGGGGACTGACACGCTAAGACTTATGCAGCCGCGGGGAAGGGTGACTGTGTTCTTAAGGTTGCTTTCCATGTAGCCATGTACAAGGAAGCCTGGCCTGTTCGGGCGTTCTTTGTATCATTGAATGGCTGCCGATAAGTTCTAACAACATGATAAGGGATAACCTGGACGCATGCACAAGGGGAGGGGAGAGGAGGACTTCGGTAGTTGAAAAGATGCCATCACGGCCAACATGTTAAATATATCGCATGTCCTTCTTCTGTCCGGCAACGAATCTTCTATTTTGTGTCTGAAATTTCGTTCATTTAGGCTGGTACCTTTTTGGCGATATCTTGATTTTGTATCAAACCTTTTTCATTCACACTTTGACCGCAGACCAATCTCGTTGCAAGTAAAGTTCAACAATGACAGCCGTACAGATTCCCGTCCAATCACCTGGCACTGTTCAGTTGATAGACCGTGAGCATTCTCCGTCAGCCGAGTCGGCTTGATGCTGAAAGAAGCCTAGATGAAAATGCCACAGAATCTTCCGGCTTTATTCTTTCACCTATTCCTTCCTCGGATCCGAACGACCCGCTGGTGAGGCTCTGCTTCAACAGGGGATACTTTAAACTTCATAGAATTGCAACTAATACCATGTCTGAACACAGAATTGGAGCAAGCGTCGAAAATATTTCAATTACAGCTTAACGATGGGGGTGACAGTGGCGGCATTCACTAAGTGAAGTCCATTTGCTCAACCACAAGTACAATGACTGACTTTTCAAACCTCTCCAAAGCTTGTCGATACAAACTGTCTTTTGGCAGCAAATGACTACCGATCTCAATGTTACCATCGACCAGCTCAGTCATGCCCAGTCAGCTCAACTCGCGGGCTTGGCAACAGGGTGCATTTTCTTCATTCCTTTTACCATTAAGTACGGCCGAAGACTCACATATCTGGTTTCTACTGCAACTTTAGCCGCAGTGGCATGGTGGACGTCTTCAATGAAGTCATACGTTGAGTTGATCGTCACGGCTGTCATTACAGGATTGGCTGGTGCCATCAATGAGACTGCAGTACAAATGACTGTGAGTCGAACAGCCCTTTCAACAACATACAATTATCCTGCTTACAGTTCCCCCGTAGATTGCGGATATCTTTTTCGTGCATCAACGAGGTTCTGCCAACGGTCTTTACTTTGTTGCCGTGATGGCCGGAAGTTTTCTCACTCCCTTGGCGGCTGGCTCTCAAGCTGTTACACAAGGTTGGCGTTGGTCCTACTACGCTCTTTCCATTGCTTTAACGATACTATTCTTTGCGTTTGTCTTCCTCTACGAAGAGACAAAATTCGTGCCAGTAATCGTTGGCCAGCGCGAAGAAATTCATTCCGAGACACTTGACTACCAAAACGATCTCACCAAAACCGACAGCCTGGCAAAAGATGGCTACGAAATCAGTTATACTCAGTCAAATGTTTCAAAAAGTCTCCGAGTGAATACTTACAGCGAACGGATGCGTCTCACAACTCCTACCTCAGAATCTCTCCTCCGTGTTTTCCTCATGCCTCTCCACGTTGTTACGTTTCCTCATGTCATGTTTACTGCCCTACAATTCGCATCAGGTGTATGTTGGTTAGTTCTGTTCTTGTCGATTGTATCCGTCGTCTTTTCTGCCCCCCCATACAATTTTGATACTGCTGCCATCGGCTACATGAACCTAGGTCCCTTTGTGGGCAACATTTTTGGAAGTCTATATGGTGGCCCATTCGCTGACTGGGCCGTCTTACGCCTGGCAAAGAGGAACGGCGGTCTTTTCGAGCCTGAAATGCGGCTGTACCCCCTTTTCTTGCCAGTCATCACAATGGCAGGCGGAATAATCATGTTTGGAGTTACAGCAGATAAGGTAATTATTGTGTTCAATGAACCTTCCTGTGACGCGACGCTGACAAAGCCAGGGAATGCATTGGATCTATCCTAGTATTGGCGGGGCACTCTTCGCATTTGGCCTGGGTGCCAATGGAGATATAACATTCACTCTACTTATTGATACATATAGAGAGGTAAGAAGAATTTCTCCAACAGCCCTGGTTCAGACTAATGTGGTTATCTGCAGCTTACTGCCGAGGCCTTTGTCGGCGTGGCTTTCATTCGGAATGCTGTAAGCGTCGGCGTCCCTTCCGCCCTGGTGCCTTGGATGTCAAGCATGGGACTCAGTAACATGTACATCCTAAGCGGAATCATATCCCTGGTAATTGGGCTGCTCTATATTCCGATGATCATTTGGGGGAAGCGAATGCGAACCGCTCTAGCTCAGCGGTACTGGCGACTTGTGGAGAGGCGCATGAATTTGTAGTTTTTGATTACTCATTGTTCTCTGATTTAGACATCTGTTTAGATGCTAGTGGATCCTTCGATCCTTGAGATATTTGTTATTTGAACCGTTGTGTTTCGAAGAGCCAGTCCAAGCGTTTGTTTCGATTTCTTCATAACCTCCATGTTTCATGTTGTAAGGCCACTGCCGAAGGCCCAAAATGGGCATAATTGTCCTTCAGAAACTGTGTTCAATCATCATTTTCAAAGCCTCTCGGCAGGTTTGCCGGGGAAGTTAGTCAATCGATAGCAATCAATGACAGGCCTTCCTTCAAACATCGTCATCACACCAACGGCTAGGATTCCATTCATCCAGTCGTACAAACTCCCTCCTGGTGCTTCAAAGTTGATATGAGTAAAATACTCCACTTCATCCTGAGAAACGGTGGAAGACATCTTCTCCGTCTGCCCTGGTCCACTGCGATAAATACCATGCGCGTTCACAAGAATATGAACCCCGTCGTTTGTCTTGAGCGTATATCTCGCACTCAGTCTGGAGAAGACCTAGCCATTGCCATAAGTAGCGATAGAGAATCGAGGGGTTCAACCATTAACGAACCTTGCCAGGACTAACCTGCTCCGCCCAATCTGCACCACTCCTCTCCACAATGCTACCCTTAATCCGAGGCCCTTCCACCGATCCTCTCAAGATGGGTAGCACCAGCCGTGTGACACCCGTGTTATTCACATTGCGTATTTCAGACACGTCAGGATCCATATCGCAAACGATTCGATAGATAAAATCGAGATGCGGCAAGCGCATGGGTGGTACATCGACCCAACTAGGAGAGAACTTGTTTCCGGGCGACGGGGTGTGGGAGAATGCCTTCTCTGCAGTCATTTTGAGTTTGAACGCGTTCGATGACAGCCTGCTTAAAACTAGACGACTATCGTTTAGTAAGAACGTATGGAATGCTCCGTTGGCACTGGTTTTCAGTTCGTTTGACGCAGCTGGTGGCAACCTCAAGAAGCTGGTTAAATATATCCCTTGTAGAAGGACAAGCAAGGGTGTTGCTGATCTGCATCAGTGGCAGACTTTCCCGACGACATATGCCGGTTTTACTTGACATGCGGGGGGCTGACATGCGGGGGCAACACTCTAATGCCTGTGCCATCGTCACTAGTTGTGTTACGCAGAACGTCCGGAGGGGCGGCATCTCCTTCCTGATTAGGTTTCACGGTGCGTGGCCACCCTCCCGAAACGTGTGCTGAAGAATAATAAAGGTCTCGAATCGACCGGCTTTTTGTATACTGATAAAAATATCTCATTCGATTAATGTTCCAGATCTATATGGAACTCTCCAAACTCTCAAAGTTCTTTTCGTCTGTTCCTCTTATCATCACTTTCCAATTTGACCCAGGCGCAATCAGATCCTCATAATGCCTGCTGCCATGGGATGGGAAGCAATTGCTTCTCGCCATAAAGCGAAACAACAACAAGCCATACCTCGTGAATGGAGATTGTCTGAGCAGGAGCTAGATCTGCTTTCTGGCAAGGGAACGCCTCAAGAAGGACAATTAATCCTGCTGGATGCGGCTAGAAAATCAGCTCTTCTGACGAAAAAAGAACTCGAGATCACGGAAGATTACAATACGAGGCAGCTTCTGAACAATATTCACAACGGAAGTCTCACATCAGAGGATGTGACTGTGGCGTTCTGCAAGCGGGCAGCTCTCGCGCAGCAACTTGTAAGCTTTTCAACTGCCATTCATCAACCACAAGCTAAGGAGGCTAGACAAACTGCTTGACAGAAATCCTTTTTGAAGAAGCGATTTTAAGAGCCAAAGCACTGGATCAAAAGCTCAAAGAAACTGGAAGCCCTGTTGGCCCTCTCCATGGACTTCCAATTAGTCTCAAAGTAAGAGCAGTTCACCAGAAGGAATACCCATTTAGACAAGCATTTAACAAAAATAAGGATTCGTTCATTATCAAAGGCCACTATGCAACTGTCGGCTATGTTGAGTTCCTCAAACGGCCACCTCCAGATTCGAATTCAACTTTGGTGGATCTCCTCTTAGATGCCGGGGCCATTTTGTTTTGCAAAACAAATGTTCCACAAACGATGATGGTCTGTTATTCCCAGTTTCGAGTCATAAACAGTCATACAACAGATGTCTCACTAACAACTGCACGAAATAGACTGCAGACTCAGAGAACAATATCTTTGGGAGGACCTTGAACCCACACAAGACAACTCTTACTGCTGGTGGCTCAACAGGTGGCGAGGGTGCACTGGTGGCTTTTCGGGGTTCTCCGCTCGGTGTTGGCACCGACATTGCAGGTTCAGTCCGAATTCCTTCCTTGTGCTGCGGGATATATGGATTTAAACCAACAGCGAACCGGATGCCTTTTGGTCGCCAGGCATACTCCCCTTTTCCCAAGCTTCAATTGCCTGGAGTAACTCCAGTGGCTGGTCCCATGGCGAATTCTGTCGATGATCTCTGGTTGTTTATGAAAACAATTCTTGCACAGAGGCCGTGGAAGTATGACGCATCCGCAGTTGACATGCCTTGGAATGAATCAAAAGTTGCCCTGGACAGAAATCTGACTATTGGAGTTCTACCCGAGGATCCAGATTATCGACTACACCCCCCGGTCCGCAGAGCCCTGGAGAGCGCAATTACAGCTCTGACGGAGAAAGGGCACAAGGTTATCCGCTTGCCAGCAGACCCTGCATATTCTGCTGGCCATGGTGCCAGGCTCGGGTACATTTATTTCGGAATGATATCGTCGGGTCTGGACGCACTTGCAAGTGAGATTGGTGAACCTCTTGTCACTTCCGTGAAGCGCGACGTTCATCCCTTCACCAAAGCGAAGCCTCCCGTTCTCCCAGGTACGGACTTGACACACCAATTGAGTGAGTTCTTTGGCCTCCGAGATATCTATGCCGACAACTGGCGGAAGGTCTGGACAGAATATGACCTCGATGTTGTCATCGGACCAGGGGCTATCAGTACAGCCGTTCCACACGATACGTATGGAGTCCCGGTTTACACGTTGATGTGGAACGTACTTGATGTAAGTGAAGGATCATTTTCAGTAGACTCCCGTACTAAAATAGGAAGTACCCTTCGGGAATCATACCATACGGCCCCGCTTCAAAGGAGAAGGATCCTCAGTACGAAAAGGCCACATCGGAATTCGAAGCAGATTGTAAGTAATATTGCTAAGAAATCCTCCCTCGGATTTTAAAGCAAAAAGCTGACTGTGCACAGACGATCCTGAAGCAAGCGATGGAGTCCCGTGTTCGATCCAGGTTACGGCCCCTTCATTCAATGATGAGGAGTGTCTGAACGCAATTCGTATCATTGACAGTGCGATTAGAAGATAGAAGACCATAGATGACCATGTGGCAAAGGAATTTCAACTCTCTTGCATGTTATCATCTTGGCCACCCTTGTGGTTATCGAGGCCGTTCCGCTTGCGAAACTGTGCCAGCCACTCCGAATTATCTGCAACGGTTTGGTTCCATTCATGGTCGCTGTCATATATGACCCTTCTTGATTCCTGTCTTAACATCTCATCGGTAGGGAAAATGCCCTGCGATATATGCTCCTCCGCAAAATGCTTCAAATGCCGCTCCAAAATTTCGGTGAACGCTTTCGATGTAGCGGCTCTTGAGCTCAATATCGACGATGAAGCAATCGACACGGGCCTTTCTATTTGCGTAGAATCCGCTGTTTGATCTTCCTTGAACCCATGGGTACGGGAGGAGATCTGTGCGAAGTGGTCCCTGGTACCCTGCTTGGTTGCTGAAAAGGGAACAACGCTCAAAGACTCCGACCCTATTAAATATGGAGGGAGAGCATGAATGACTTTTCCTGCTACTGTTGGTGAGAATCCGTGCTCTCCTTTCCAGTCTTTCATCGTCAGTCCTTTGCGAAAGTGTGCTGCAAGATGGTCGATCCTCTTGTTCCAAGTGGAAAGTTGCAAATCGCAAAATCCACATCGGGATTCTACCTCTGTGGCAAGCACCTTCCAGCTATTGAATTGAGGCAGCTTCTCTAGCTTATGCATAACGCGCAGATGCTGCACGAGATGATCCTTTCGTCCAAATGAGCGCGCTTCAATTGGCCGATCGTGGCAAGCGCTGTGGTTATGCTCTTCGAGATGGTCATCCGAGGGATCCATATAGCTACAGTATGCGCAGTGAAGCCGGCCTGTTACTGTTGAGATGACGGATCCCCCTTGAGGAGTACATAGCCAAGACTCCAGGTTAAGGTGACGGGACTTTTCATGTCGAGCCCAGTCAAACTTTGTCTTAAAGCTATCACAACAGAAGGTGCACTTAAACGGACGGCTATCTTTCGCCGAGGCGGCGCTCGCTGCACGTTTTTTCCCGATGCGGCCCTGACGAGTACGACTTAACGGGCCAAATCCAGCACGCTGACCTGCGGAAGATTCTGATCCTGCAGACCAGACAGAGCTAGCAGAGTGTATGGAAGAGCCACTATCACCGCTGTCAAAACTTGTCCCCGAGTTTGCTTGAGAGTATCTTGGCGTGGACCGAGTGTTGCCACCCTCAGGATTGACGAGAGTTGTTCTGAGAGCATCATGAATGGCTTCCATACAGGCTGGCTCGTCTTGGGGTGGTGAATCCTTCCATCGCTGCAACGGATCTGATTCTTGTTGGCCTTCTTGGGATGAGGCCGAGGCGGGGGTGGGTATCGGTACCGCTCTATTCTCTGACTGAATATAGCGATATCGACTTCTTCTCCGGGGAAGGCTCCGTTGTTCTCTTCGGTTTTGTTCTTTGGCAATTTCAGACCAGTTGATGCTGTCTGATGGCCGCGTAACTGGCCCAGGGAGTGGCCACTGAAGATTATTTAGCTCGCGAGCTGGATCATCTTTTGAAAGATCATCATCGATCCATGCTGCGTTATCTTCATGCGAGATAAGGCTTGGATTTGTTGTATTGCTGACAGGCCAAGACAGCGGATTCGGGCTTTCAGTTATCAAATCCAAATCAGGGTAAACACTGCCGAATGCAGTGGCACTTGGTGCTGGCCAGCGGGGTTGATTTGAGCCCATAAAACCGCCCCCATCCGGCTGCCCAGAGGCCAGATCAAGCAGAGAATCAAGGACTTGCTGATCAAGATAAGATTGGCTTTGGATATGATCAATAACCTCGTCTGACGAGCGTTCCGCCGTTCGCGAGTATGTCGTATCGCGAGCGGTAGTTTCGGACTCGGTGGAGGCGATTGCTACTTCGCTTTCGAGGTCAAAGCCTTGCACGGGCGGCATTGAATGATTCGGCATTATGACTTATCAAACCACCTTTTACGCGTTGTAGATATACAGGCTCGGCATACAGGCCGTTTAAAGATGCAATCACATTCTTACTGGTGGGTACGGCACTCAGCTGACCGGGCTTCGCATGTGGGTATTCACGGAGGGTTTGAAAGACCGCATACGCCTTAGGGCGTCGAGTTAGAAACTTAGGCCAAGCCTCTTGAAACACGTGACGCTACCTTTTCAGGCACATTAGAGTCAGGCTCGCTGATGTTTGGCTGGTGTCATAGCGCGTACAATTTAGAACGTCAAGTCTAAACTTTCAGAGTAGAATGCAGACCCTGATGTTCCTAAATACTCTCCATCCAGTAGTATGACGACTCATCAAGCATTGCATTTCCAATACTCACTATGTTGGTGTGGAGAAGATCAAGAAAAGATGTTTATTGAGTATTGATTAAGTAGCAAGACAAATAAAGGAATTGACTGTTCTTGGCTGCCAAAGCCAGTACCAATTCCGGCAACAGATGATGAGCGAATTGCAACTCTTCATGGACCAATATCACTCTCCAGATGTCACTACCCCAAAAGGATACGAATCGACTATACTGGTTTACTTCGTCGCGTTATTTTCACATTAAACTCCCTCTGAATGTGGATCGCATAATTCTCAGAAGTCCATGGTATTGCCGGGTTAACAATCGTGAAATCAAATCTTCTCAGGAGCTAGAAACCATGATCGTTAGCAGGGAAATTTACTCTGTCAGTTCGTCGAGAGAATTCTGTAGCTCACCTCAACATAAACCTTGTTGAGTTCCATCATAGCAAGATTTTTGCCAAGGCACTCGAATCGACTTCCTCCTGCGAATAATAGCATGGTCTGCGTTTCCATCATGCGGTATTTTTCTTTCGAAATTCCAAGCCACCTCTCGGGCCGAAACATGCCAGCGTCTGGCCCAAAGACTTCTTTTTCGTGCGTCACTGAGAAAGGAGACCATGCCACATTTGTTCCAGCAGGAATATGTGTTTCGCCCATCAACTCATCTTTAAGAGAAACCTTGGGCAGCAAGCCTGTCCCTGGGGGCCAGATGCGCAGACCTTCTTTGATGACGGCCTGGAGGTATTCAAATCGCCTTGCTTCTGCGTCCGTAATTGGTGACGAGATGAGACCTTGCTTAGCGGCCTGGTCAATCTCAGCTTGAAGGCGGGTGTAGACATGGGGATTTGTTATGATGAAGAGCATGGTGGACCTGATAGCTGCAGCAGTTGTGTCGGAACCGGCGACAATCTGGACCGTTGTTTCGCCCTCCGCTTGTTCCCTGGTCAAGCCATGAGTGACGAAAGAACCAAGAATATCGCGTTTGACCACAGGATTTTCGCCATAGCGTTCATTTACGGCTTCCCGAGCTCTGCGTATAACATCGCCAATTCCCATAATCTTTGTCACGTCCGGAACAATGGGTCTGAGCGTACGAGATTGCAGGATGTTGAGCATCCATGGTTGCAACGCAATTACCAACAGTGAAGGGACTGATCTCTCAGTCACTTCGATATAACGAAGGGTATCGGCGTCCGAATCCAAATAACCAAACTTTTTGCCAAAGCCCACAGCTGAGATGACGTCGAGTGTAAAATACTGAACTTTGCGAGCTAGGTCGACAGTCTTGAATTCGTGTTCAGTGGAAAGGTAACGAGTTTCCAGCAGGTTAATGAGCCCAGCCACTTGCTCATCGACGAGTTCCTGCACCCCTTCTACGTCTTTGCCTGCATATCCGGGAGCGAGCTTCGCCCTCATGGAGTCATGCTGCTTATCGTCCAAAGCTGTAAAGACGCTATCGGAGTAAGGGTCGAATCTCAAACCTCGATACCATGCGCCTCGCTTCCAGGGTGATCGGGCCGCCCAAAGGCGCCGCATAGTAGCACCATCACCGACAACGACCCAGTTGGGGGCTATTCTTACAATGGGACCTACAAGTCTGTGGTCAGTTTTGCACCTCAAAACAAGCTAAGACAAGTTTCAAATTGACATGGAGGACATGTAGTAGTATTCTCTCTACTTTTCAGTAGACAAGAACCAAGGCATACCATGAAGTAACGCGAGCAACTCACCGTGCTTGTTGTGTAAGTCCTGCAGAGTAAATGCGAGCTTGCCGCTAAGCTGAGCTTTAATCAGCCAGAGATCGGTCCAGTGTGCCCAGAACGGTCCCGGAACATGTCTTAATCGTGCATAATCACGGATCCGACATATTATCAGATAGATGGTCAAGACCAGGGCGGCAACTGACGTCGCTGTGTATAGAGAATACAACATGGCCGTGACTTAACCTGGTTACCGGAGCAGCCAAAAAGGGCAAAGGATAGCGAGTGCACAGTTTCCTTTGGGCTGTCTGGGAGCACAAGACAACCCTTGCAGCTAAACAGGGATAAAAATGAGGGGATCGCGGCGTGGGGTGCGAGATGTCAGGCACGAGGCGAAATCGGGGAGGCCGGGACGCGGAAGATGGCCAGAGGATACCTCGCAGCACTGAAGGAACTCAGCGATCAAGATAAACGGTTGGCGAGTGATATGGTCAGGATAATTTGCCAATATTGACACAAGCCTTATCGAGTAGGCCACTTCCCGTCGTAAGTAGAGTCGGACGCTGGAATCTTTGGTGGACTTCGGATGACAAATACTGTTGTCGTGGTTCGCGCCAGCGCTTCAAAGCATTCGCTCCAATGCCATGTGTCGTTTAGACGAGGCTCAGACCGCAAGTGAATACGTAATTATGTCAGGAAAGGGCCAATCTTGTGTGCTATAGTAACCAAGGAAGGCGAACCAGTATGCTTGATCATTCAGGTTGGACCGCAAAAGGAAGAAACAGGCACAAAAAAGAAACGCAGAGTATAAGTACTGCGTAATACGAGAAGTAGGATTGGCCCTTTCCTGAATCAGACGAAAAGGGCAAGGCCATTCTGCACGTAAACCTAATGGAAAGGTCCATCACAGCTAGGTGTGTGAATAGGTGTGTGAACATGTCCAACCATCGTAAAGCATTATTGGTTATCATGTCGGTTAATGTTTGTTGGACAGCAGATAATGATCTTTACGGTTTGTGGGCATGGCTCTGCAGCACACCACTGCGGGAGTGAGGAAGGGACAGGGGAGTGATTATCAAGGATGCTGGCGAGGTTGCATTGCTAATCCTGCATCATCTTGTTGGTAGTCGTGCTGTGCTTCCATTGTGCGTTGGCCCTTGTTATCGCCTTGAAAGAATCAAGCATCCTTGATTGATCACCTTACACATGGAAACTATACGTGGGCGAAAGTTTGTCAAGTAATCCGTCTCGATTTTGCAACCGCCCTTGCCCCGTTCCAACAGATTATTGTTTGCAGGTTTGCAGCGACAACGACAACGATTACGAGGGGAACCAGTCAAGGACTTCGTCTGCACCCACCATGGAACTCTTTCACAAGCTTCCAAGTGGTAAAAATGTATTAGCAGAGCTGCCAAGACGATTTAGACGAGAAAAGAAAGAAGGGGGGAAAAACCTTGACAAGATTAGCAGCCCATTGGATGCCGGTAGGTTAAATGCAGAGTAAGAGGGGTCATTATCGTTGCTAATTGGTCCAGAGTCTACATTTCACACCGAGGCTCGACGCCTCCCCTGGGCATGTCTTTGGATGGCATCCAGGACCCCTCATTATCCCCCTCTCGGCCACCGATGATGGCGTGCGGGGAGTCCATACCTCTCGGTTTCGAACAGCCAAAGCGCCATTTGACCTAGATTCGGAGAGTCTAAAACCTGGCGCTGCCGCGAATGGGTAGCTATTCGTCAGTACCTACGATGCTAAAGCCTGGATGAGAACAGAAAGATCGGGATTTCTCACCCGCCTAGCGGGCTGTTTAACCACCTTTAATTCAGAGACGAAATGCATTGGCGTCTTTTGGAAATTGGTGAAGGTGTTGGGCCCTGGTGCTGTTCTCAACCTCATGCAGCCACTAATCAAGCCGTCCTAGACTGCGTTTAGTGCAGTTTTCCTCCCCTCCGAAACTCGATGCTCCAAGGCCTACACGGTGCAGCCCGGGCCCTGGGACCTTCACGCCTCCCCTCTCGGCCCCCTTCTTTGCGCCGCGATATCAGCCATTTGGCCACCTCATATTACAACACACTACAGATGCAAGGCACGTCAAACGCAGCAATGCCTGTTTTCATGCATCAGCTGTTGGCGAGAGACATACCTACGCACCTTAATGTATTGCAATGATGCCCACTTCTACCTAGTTTGCCCAAGGCCACCATGTTTAAGGCACAGGACAGTTTACCTACTCCCTAACTATGTCTAATCCCCTTCTCCCTGTGTTTGCTTTCATATTTTCTCTACTTTTGGGTCTTTCTTGCTCTTGGACTTTCTCGGCCCTCGCCACTAAAAGCCAGCATTGCGGACTCGTCCCCTTCCAATTGTTGTTTGTTGCTACGCCTAACGCGCGCCAATCTGTCTTTCTTCAACTAAATTGGCTTGTGCGACCGCTGATTTCCCCCAAGTTTGACGATCACAAATTCTAATCACTCTTAGGCAGGACACTTGGGGTCGTTACTATGGCGGGGTCTCCCCTGCAACCCACTGACTGCTCTGCCTCGCCGAATTCTCCCAGTGACACCAGTCACAGGCCTGCTGGCGTCTCGTCTAACCAGGGCCCAGTACTCCAGCCAACAGGCAACCCTTCACCGCCACTAGAGGCTGTACACACACTGGCGTCCAACCCAGAGGAGCCCGCAACGCGGATCGTAAGTCAAGAATTGTGCTTTCTGATCTCACATGTTTCCCTTTCTCCGCAAAGCTCTCATAGCCCGATTCTTATTGATTGATAGGACGCCGATTCGGCCGATGCCTCCGATGCCGATGCTGATTCTGCATTAGACGTGGTAAGTTCATCACGGCCCCTTGCAAGTCTCCAGTCTCTGCTGTCCTCTGATGGACCTTCTGCAAATAACCCCATTGCTGTCGGAATGGCGCTTTCTTTCCTGGGGGGTCTCTGGGGGAAATGCAACAGGGAACAACTGCGCATGATCAGAGACGATCAAGGGCTTCCCACTTTTTTAGAGATAGAAAAATCCTTGGTCCAAAAAAGTTCTTCGTTGGTTTGAAAATTATGTTGTTAATCGGCGTTGCCTCACTAGCCGTTCCGGGATTCACTCACATCGTTACGGTCCAGTATTCGACAGTACCAACACGAAAATGGGCGTACGTATCATGCCATGAGTGCAGGGAGTAAGTTGTGGACCTCACCACTGGTGTCAAATCCAACTAATTTTGCGCAATAGAATACTTTCTTCCAAACGACGAGGTATGGCCATTCCTACAGGAACACCTTTAGCCAATGTGAAGTTAACAAGAAAATGTTGTCTCGCAGTCGGAGGTAGACAGATTAGGTGACTTTTCTTCTAATTGAGCGTGCGACTAGCACTGACAGCCAAGCAGACTTGCAGCACTATGTAATGACCCTTACGATAGGAGGTAATCACTGCCTCTGCCCCAAGAACATGGGTGCCAAGCGGGTTCTCGATCTCGGAACGGGCACCGGCATTTGGTCTATGGAATACGGTGAGAAACGTTTATCCTATCCAACGCAACTGTGCATAATCAGGAGCTGATCAAAGTTTTGCCAACTGTCAGCGGACGCGCATCCTGAAGCAGAGGTAATATTCAACCGCGTACCGACATGAGCCTGAGACTGACAACAACTTAGGTTATTGGTGTTGATCTAAGCCCCGTTCAGCCCGACTTGTAGGTCTTAATTCTCTTACCTATGGCCCAGGAAGAAGAAAATTAATCACGAGATACTGACGAACGACAGAGTACCTCCGAACTGCTCTTTTGAGGTATGGTGATAGCCAAATAGGTTATGGGCTAAGCTAACTAATACAAACCGAAAGCTCGACGACCTTGAGAAGAGTTGGACCTGGTCTCAACCGTTTGATTTCATCTTTTGCAGAATGATGACAGGTAGTTTCGCAGATAACAAAAGCATAGTGGAAAAGGTCTTTGAGTAAGCGGTCCTTCAAAAAGCCTAAATAGATACTGTCTTGACACGAATTTCACTCAGATCACTGGAGCCGGGCGGTTATTTCGAAGCCCAGGACATGGCACTTCCGCTGGGATGCGATGACGGCACGCTGACCCCTGAGTCTGATCTTTGGAAATGGGTTCTCCTTGTGATGGAAGGCATGGAGAAATTCGGACGACCTGTCAGTGCCGCCCAGCAATGGAAGGAGCTTATGGAAGCTGTCGGCTTCGAAGACGTTGTCGAAACCGTCTATAAGTGGCCGACGAATCGCTGGCCTCGAGATAAGCATTATAAAGACTTGGGCATGTGGAGCCTGGAGAATATGGATCAAGCTCTTGAGCCCGCCACGCTAGTACCTCTCACCAGGGCATTAGGCTGGTCTTACGAAGAGGTGATTGTTTTGGTTAGTAAGGCCAGAAAAGTATTGAGGGACGTAAGTGTGCATGCATACTGGCCAATGTGAGAACAAATCCGACATTAAATCGGAGTGCGAGTAGGAATGCTGACCTCATTTGCAGACATATTGTTTACGGTCGAAAACCACACAGAAAAGCCAAAGTTACAGCATGAGATTGAAGCGGGCTCAGCATTCACCCAAAGGATATAGCATTCAGAGATGAATTTGATAGTCAGCTGAGCCAGAATCCCAAGCTTGAGAAGATGAGAAACGAAAGTAAAGTATTCCTTGTACTGCATCACCCGGGCTTTATTAGACATGTTCGTCCGACTTCATGAATGTTGAATTGGCATTTCGCATAATCTTTAATAACCTATATAGTAAACTCCTCACTCACTACCAGCTGTCTTAAAACCCTCAAAGAACGACTAGGACTTCTAGAAAACCACAGTTCCCTTTCAGCTTCAGTTTCTCAAGCTCACAGCCCATGATTTTTATGCTCGGTTTCAATGTTTTGGTACTGATTTTGGGTATGTCAGTTTAGTTGTCAAGCTCGTAAGACTCTTTGAGGAAACTGACGTTTAGTAATGCACAGACTCAAGGAATTCGATGGCTGGCTCAGCCTCGGCCTCGGGCTCCCTCTTGTAGTGAACCGATTCAAGGAACTCAATAGCAGGCTCAGCCTCGGCCTCGGGCTGTGCCTCCCTCTTATAATGGACGGACTCGAGGAATTCGATGGCCGGCTCAGGCGCCGCTTCGGGCTGTGCCTCCTTCTTATAGTGGACGGATTCTAAGAATGAAATGCTTGCTTCCTCATTCGATTCAGGCTTTATTCCTGAGGGGGCTGCTACGGCTAAGCAGGCACCAACAACGAGAAGAATGGCGGAAGTCTTCATTGTCAAATAGTGAGACTTTGTCTTGGGGTTTGTCTAGAAAGCAATTATGGTATGATAGAACGTTTTCGACAACTGGAATCATGTTTCTCTCGGGCGTCGTATGACCTCTTTATATCATGATATTGCAAGCTTGGATGAGACTGCGCATGACTCTCACTGGAGTCGTATCCGTCAAGCGAGCTAAAGCAGATAGGGAAGCTGGAGTTGGTTCTAAAGACCCAGTCTCGGCATTCGTGTTCCCGAAGGCGTCAGCAAACGTCAATTGCGAATGATGACTACCAACCCCACTATCAAGTTCCAGGAACTTCTGTTGAGGGGCTTGAAGGTTCACATGATAAGACATCTTATCTCGGCAAGATCGTCCAGGTCCTTGTTGACCCTGGCAAGTAAGTTTGCCTTGTCCAATCATAAGAGAACAACAGCACTTGGCTCATTGCGACCAACACCAGAAACCCAATAAAGGAGGCAACAGTAGATTTTGGACTGCTCGTCTTATGCCAAGAAACAACATGATAGTTCTCAACTGCTTGGCTTGGCGGTAGCGGACCTTATCACTTTTGACAGTACGGGGTTCTCGGGTTTGAGAGATTTGATCGAAACAAGCTTTTGTCCCCAGACCATCTGACGAAACAGGAAGGTAGACAGATGTGTCAATTTGTTGAGTCAGGAGAAGATTGTAGATTAAATGAATCCAAGACTGGGGTACCTGGGTAGTTAGAGCGAGTGACCCCAATTCCGCGGTAGCCTGTGGAGAACCACATGGACGCGTAGTGCCGGCAACGCTACGCCGTGACCTCAGAAAAGAGTTGATAACGTGCTTGTCTATATGAAGTAATGCACACGGCGAGTCATGTCGCGTATGGTCACTCCAACTTCCCAATTAGGCCTTTGCCATGATTCTCTATTTTGTCCTCAAGACTTGTCAATCTGTAAGTCTTCCTTTGTCAGGCTTTGATTTTCTACATCGCCTCATCTTATCAGTTTTAGTTCAGGCCGGCCTTTCAGCATGCCAGAAATGCTCTGTCAGACTTATGGAGAAGAGCTCGAAGAAACTGAGGCGGAAGCATTTCTCTTAAACAGTGCTCGGTCAAACATCTCTCATGGCGGGCGCATCGCAACAAGGCTTAGGCAGAATATCTTTGGTTTGATCCTTCTTATTATCAGCTGCGTAATGTTTTGCCTCTCCTTGTGGGTTCATCTCCTACCAGTGCGGCCAACAGACCAGCAGTGTGTGAGACAGCTTAACGCCCCATGTATGCCACATGCCGACAGAATCAAGCTTCAACTAGGGATGCTAATGCTGTTGATAGCCCCGGTTTATGATGTCTTTGAATATGAAGACGTACAGTTTGATAACGCGTTCTGGAAGCCGAGCCCTTACAAGGGCAAGCCAACACCTGAACTGGAGGCGAGGTGGAAGGAGTTGTGGTATTGTAGGTATAGGTTCGGTTAAGTTCAAGACACATTTGCTAACACACTACCATCAGATGGCTCATTTGACTTGCCAGATTCTTATCTAGAAGCTCTTAACAAGTCCTCCGAGGGGCATGAAGGAGACCGTTGGGCGCGTACATCTTCTGGAAATCTTCTTGCTGGCCTTGAAGTTTTCCATAATTTACATTGCCTCAATCTCCTGAGACAATTCGTGCATAGGGAAGAATATGATTACAGCGGAGATCCAGCCTTCCATGGAGATGCAGAGCTGGTCCTTGCGGTAAGTTGATCATAAAATGTCCGGGGCCTCCTGTCACACACGCCGAAGGCCCAGTTGGTGTATATCAAGTCAACTTGGGAAAAAGTCAAGATGAATTTACAGTTCTGACCTCGATTTAGCATGTTGACCATTGCATTGAAGCACTCAGGATTAGACTGCAGTGTGCTGGCGATGTGACACCGTTTTTGCACACAACGGGAGCGAAAGGGATACAGCCCGATTTTGATTCCCAACACAGGTGCCCTAAATATGATCGCATAATTGAATGGGCTAAAGAAAGGCAAATCATGGTAAATAAACCTGCGACACATGAAGGTCATGGTCATTAATGACGAGCGTAAAGAGAGTCACGGGTGTACGGTCGTAGGGTTACTTCCTGCCGCCATTTGGACAAGTTCAGGGGAGATCTCTTACTTCTCGGCTTAGGTCACAAAGCTTTGGTGTCAAGATCAAAATGGGCACAACAACCCATAGACGTATGTTATTCAATTATGAGGAAATTCAGCCTGATACCATAAATCGCCAAGTTTTGATACCTAACAAATCAACTGTGCATCCCATGTCCTTAAAGAATGGACTCTTCTTGCGCCGGCCAGCGTTAAGTCAAGCTTCAAATCAAGCAATGGCTTCCAGTCTTCTCGGTAAGCCCCAACCGATACTCCATCATCGCCAAAAATCCAGGTTCGCAGACGGTTATATGCAGGTAAATAGGTATCATCTAATACAGACCAACAAGAATATCACCGCGGACGCGAGCAGTTATATGAACCTCTGCCTCCAAGTCCAACTTGATGCCGACCATGAGAGCAGCTTTCGTCAGTTGGCCCTTGTCGTCAACAGGGCCCTTCAAGAGGTTGCCTATATTTATGTGAGATCAATGAAGGAAGTCAAAAGCGGGTAGAAATCTTACCAATTGGACCGTTCGCGTTGCCGGAGAGGTTTGGCATGGGAACGGGCAAGCCAGGTTGAGACATGTTGGGTCTGAGTTGTCCGTTGTTGGGAGGGTATGAAGTAGGGTAAGCAGGAGCACGCTGCTGCTCGGCGGTGTCAGACTTTTGGCTGGTGCTGGACGTATTAGTGGCTTGCGCGTCTGAATGTATTTAATGTACGGGTTCCCTTACGGAGAAGACATTGTGGTTAAGAATTTGACAACTTGGTCTTGTAGGGAGACTTGTAGTTCTTCAGGTGAATTAGACACGTCGAGCTCGTCAGGGTTGAGAAGACCTCGCTCGAGCAAAAACTGCTTTGATGGCGACTTTGGAGATGGTTTCGGACTGGTTGCTTGAGGGACTGCGAGGTCTTTCGGAACAGTGTTGTTCTCAATAATAGAGGTCAGAGAAGCTAGGGATCTCTGAGTGGAATGGCGGCGCTTATCAACAGGAGGTTCGGACTCTTGAGGAAGTGATGAGGCTCGAGAGCGATTGGCGTTGGAGGGGGGGAAGTTATTATTGTCTGTGGACACTCGGATCGGAAGCTTGAATGAGAGAGATCTTCTGAGAGCTCCTGGCGCAACAGAATTGTCCTCGGATGGCGGAGGCGGTGGAGTTGAAGTTTGGGCTCGGCTCGGGTTGGCAGGGGCTTCAGCAGGGATTGATGCAGCTGAGGCAGACAGGCGCTTTGACGACGTGCTAGAAGCTCGAGGTATGTAGCCTGGTCTCTTGGTTGTTGATTGCTGCTGCTGCTGTGAAGGCTCAAATTTTGATGATATCGTGGCGATCGGGGAACCAGTTCCCACGGACCTTTGTCTTTTATGTTGCGTAGCTGCGGTGTCGAGTTGTTGGGGTTGTAGGTCTGCCTGCTTGACCATCTTGGAGGGGGAACACGAGGAGCTTTAAGCTTTAGTTGCGAACGCGACCGAAAGAACCCGGTATAACTATTTGATGCTATTACTCTCCTTTACGTATCCATCCTAGACAAACTTGCAACAACAACAGAGGTGTTCTGGGGAACAAAATGACATCGTCCGATGTTGAAACCAGCCGCTCGGATTGTATTTGGCGAGGTTTGTTTTGTCAGCCTTGGCTAGAACCCGCTAGCGAAAGACTCTCGCTCATGCGGATAATGTTCGCGTTTCCAGAACATCTGAAAAATGGCCTGTGTGGTACGATTCGTATCAGTAGATAGAACGGTTTTTCGTTGCATCGGGGCTCGTCTGCGTCTCAGAGTGCCTTCATGGGCGGCCAAACAAGGATCATGAGCCCACCACACCCATGCAAGCAACCCTTATGCCGGGGAGTTTCAACGGCACCGATCAGGGGTCCTCAAAGATCTGCAACATGGGAATTCCATCTGACATTTCGCAAATGAGCCCATTAAAATCAGATTTATGGTCGAGGTCCACATACATCAGTCGATAATACTAGGCTAGCATTCAACGTCTGTTCTGAACTTCGTGAGGTTTCAAAGAGTGAAACAATTTAAGCAACACCTGAATTTACGGGGCCAGAAATCACCCCGAAACCGCAGCTTCCAATTCACTGCAATCGCCACGTTCACCTTTACGACCTACAAGGGCCATACCACTACATCCTGAAGAGTCAAGGAGACACGTTGCTTTACAAAGCTGTTGCTTGTAGAAAGGAAACAAAGGAATACCCGTACACGTTATTCGTGTCTACATGCGATTGTTGCATTGATTCCGCAGTCATCGTTATTCGTCGTGAGCTGTTTTCATATTTCGATTCGAGCTTTCTCAGCCTACCCAGTCCATAATTGAGACGCAGGGGTGGAGATGGTCCTTTCGCTCCTCATCAGTTTCGGCACAGCCGTTGGGGCCTCCGAAGGCATCAAAGCCTCAATGGCTAGATCCCGGAGGGAGGAGCATCGAAGCCGAAAGAACAATCTTATCGTCCACTGCCCCAAGTCGTCACAGTACAGCCCTTGCCTCGAAGGGCGGCGGGTGGTATTATCCGGAGACAGAGTAGGTCTAATCTCTGTATCAAGGCTTGAAAGATGTACTGACAGTAGAGAAGCTCTTCATTGACACCGGAACTGTTCATGATGCTCCGTTCGGGCACCCCTTCGAAGGATACTACATACCTTATCCAGAATCCAGGTATGCCGGACTAGTTACAACCATCACGCATGAGGCGCCCATCATGAACTGGGTCTTTGTAGATCCAGTAACATACGCGCTGCGCTTTGGTGTGCGCGCAGTGGCAGATGGTAATCTCACAGGGCCGTTCGACTGCACCCGACAGGATCGTCGACTCACTTTTTGTGGGTGGGAAGGCTTCTGTGCCGTGCTTGAAGACAGCGGTGTTTGGGGTCTGTACTTCGACCGAGATGGAGATGGCCTTCGAAAGATGTTCGGGCAGGAAGGACGTGTAGTTATTGAGATTGAGCTCATAAGAAGCGAATTGAGGACTCCGAAGCCAGACTATTCCGAACCGGAGCCAACAGCTGATGCAACGCAAGAACAAGCTCAAGCATCACAGGAAGCGGCAGAAAAGCCTGCGGAAACCTCAATACCAAGTCCTGTCACGACTAAGGTGGCTGATATTAAGAACAAAGAAGGCGAGATTTCAATTAAAGAGGCTATGAATGAGGAAAAGAATCCTAGTCTAGTTGAAGGTCAGCATGATCAAGATATGTGCTCTGTCTTTTCAGAAGCACTATCGACAGAATCTACCAGCAGCGGAGGAACCGGAAAAAAGGGAAGAAAAAGAAGGAATAGAGGTGTTAAGAAACACAAAGGCTCAAGCGTCGAGACATCAGAGTAAGCCGAATAGTTTAGAAGAATGCGTACATGTGGTCTGAAGCATACGTACGGACAGTGACTTCGGCAGCTGGAGCCGATTTGGGCGACGATAAAGCGACACGTTGTGTACGTGTCATAGAACTGGTTAATGGAATTGTGGCGGCTTAATTTCAACAAGCACTTTATTATCAGCCCATAATTCCCAAAAGCAGACAACTGGTCTGATAAAAGGCAATAAGTACCCCTGAACGGATTGCGGGAGGAAGTGGTTGGCAGGGGTTGCTAGCCAGTTCGTGTGGTAGACGACACATGAACTCAATGGTAGGGTAAAGTAGCCGATGAGACAGTAAATTGTTTCCTGCCGGGGCAGTATCTGACAGGTACAGTGTTGCACTCAGACCAGACTCTGCAACAATACCTTGTATGACTTTGTTTGTTTCAATCATGCCCCAGTATGTTTCTCGACTTGGCTCTGAAGGTTTTGACGTGCGTTTCGGTTACGATGATTTTGAGGGTTGAGGTCATTTCTGGTAATAAGCAGAGTGGGCTGGTGCTTCTTGCTATTCGTAACTAGCTCTGCCCTATTTCTCGATGATTGTTCTCTAATTGCCTGCGTTCTCGAAATGGTTGTATGTTACTTAGCCACCTCAACTATGAAAATATCTAAAAGCCGCATAAAAATACTGGCGTCTGGAGCTATGATTTGGGCGAAGCCAGCAATATGCTCCAATTTGGTTGCTCCATTCACTTCACAAGGAAGACTAGCAAATTAATTCCTTTGAATTAAAAATGATGGAAAGTAGACACCGTAGTCTCCTTTATTGGTCAGCGGCGGTATCAGGAGCAAGTTGCGCGCAAAACGTAATAGCTCCAAGTCCGGTACAACGCTCTCGATATGACCATGTTGCCACCGCCGGCATAGCCAAGTGAACGTCTCAAGCAGGCTTAAAAATGCTGAGACGAGGCTTGTGGTTCTCATCTACAATGTTGGAAGACTGTATTTCATGGTTTATACCCATCGGAGCCCTTTAGCTCCTCGTCCAAACAAACTTGCGAGACAATTTAGGAGGCAACAACCAACGCAAGTGTGCCGCTCTATCCGAGGATGCAGAATTCAGCGGCTTCAGAGCCTGGTAAAAAGGATTGAAATGACCGCATCTAACAACAATGACAAAACCCATGGGGATTCGTCAAGGGCTATTGTTCCATAACCGAAATCAATGTCACGGGCACCAGTGAGATCTCTCGGCCTAAAACTTGAGCGTCATTCGTGTGCGTGTTGTATTTGGTGAATCACCCTGCTTGTGTTTTGGTGGAGGCTCTAACCCGGTAGATGGTATAACTGGAATTGTACTTGTGCCTGTACTAGGTAAGTTGCAAGCAAAGCTTTTCGAAGACTTGGAAAATGAACTACTCATGAAAATTTGGAATATGTTGGCTGATTACAAGTGATATTAGGAACCAGTAGAGTATTTGGATCGAAGGTAATATCAAAAGTTTTAACTGAGCAGTTGAGAATATAGTCATAATTCATAGATGGTCTAGTTCTACCAAATATTGAATGGCACCAGGTAGAACAAGACAAGGCTCAGGACCATAAAAGTTTATCCAACGAAGTGTAGAGCAACTCAAAGTCGTCGCACCCTCCAGAACGCCGAAAATACACCACTTCCATCAAATTGCGCCAAGCAATACAATTACTCCTCCTTCTCTTCTTCGTTGTCGTAACGACCAAGGCGGCCCAGAGGGCTCACCATGAAGACATCCTCCCACCGTCCGCTTGCGGCCTTTCCATCCCAGTCACCACCACTGTAGAGTGGGAGACGCAGTTTGCCCGTGCAGTGCTCGTCAATGAAGCGGCAGACCTTTTGCATGTCACCGACAGTGAAGTCGTCCATGAACCACAGCATCGTCCGAGGGATATCTGCAGGGCTTAAGCGCTGAGTCTGGGCGGAAGGAGGTGCAACAGACGAAGCGCGCGTGCTTTTCCGGCGTGTCTGTGGTTGTGTGCGGACAGGAGATGGGATGAGGTTGGTGTTTTCGTCTGAGGGCCCCTTGGGTTGCCGCCGTGCAGAGCTCGGTTTGGGTGTTGTCGCCTGAGGGGCTTCGGAAGGAGGCTGCGAGGTTCTTCGCTTGGATGTTGAAGATTTGATCGCAGGGGTTCTCGTGGCAGGCGTTGACTCGTACCTGGATGCTGTTGACTCTGGTTAAGAAACGCTCAAAATAGGCAGCGAGAGTTAGCAAACTTACAGCGTCGGCGCTTGTCGGTCACAAGGTCTGTGTGTTCGACGAGACTCTCACGCTTGCGCTTCGTGCTTTGCTTCACAGGCGTCGCAATCGCGTCGACAGCCGGCTTGGTTTCGTTTGCTCCAACCTCCTCGGGGCGTAAGGGACCCAGAAGAGCAGCCTTTACGTTCTCGTCATCTACATAACCGCAATAGTCGATCAAAACATCAGGCGCGTCGACGCGAATCTTGTTTGCGGGCTCCCAGGAGACATCTTCGCCCTCATCCGAGTATCCCAACCATTGGACAAGTACCTGCCATTGCCCACGAACGCGACGATGTTTTATGATTCTGAACGGATGATATAGCTCTCCAATTCCAAGCACGTCCTGACGCGTTTTGCCCTTAAAGCTGGCCCAGTACTCGTATAGAAGAGCTGGGAGGTGTTCTTGGATATCCCATTCAGAAATGTCTATCCGGTTGGTTTTGGCAAGGACTATGAGAGTCACGAGAGCAGTTTCGGGATCGAGGGTGTGTCCGACGACCTTCTTGATCGTTTCGTACGGAAAGTCTGGAGAGGAAAGTGTCAATTGAGAATGTGAGAGTTGAACACAAGCAGCTTACCCTGCTCAGAGAGCTTTGAGCGAGATTTTCCTCGAGCCATGACTGTTGCGCTTGGACGTTGAAGGAGAATGTGTTGAAGACGTGATGCCTGCACATAGAATGCAACAGGTTAGATTCGTTACTGAAGGTTTAAAGTGTCGCGCCCCGGACGCGTTCGCGTTAACCCTGTTTTATTTTTATTTTATTTCCACTATTCTCTCTTGTCTTCGGTCTGGTCGGCCACTCGGCGCCGCTGTGGGGTCTATTTTATGGAGACCCTCCGCTGTACGCCGTAGTACATCATCGCTATATGCATCAAACAACGCGGTATTTGTTCCCCGTGTACCAGATAATTTGAAATTCGAAACTTAACACGCCGGGATGGACAATTTTCATCCCAGCAGTCACTTATCCGCCTGGACCGATATTTCTGGCTTTCCCGGCTGTAATGTGGTATGAAGCTCCGCCAGTCCTCCGTAATCACAGAGTAAAATCCAGCTGTTGCCTGAAAAGGTAAATACCTGAACCAATAAAGAGGATCAAAGTGTAATAAATATCAATTTCCAGGAATTTTAGAACGTTGTTATGAATTCTTAAGCGCTAAGGGTGTGCGGCTATTCATGGCTAATGATAGCCATCATATAATGACAAAAGGTTACGGCAAGGGCCGATCACACGACGTCGAGCTGCACGTAGAGGTGAACTTCTAGTCTGGCAGCCCTTCGCCTCAGTCTGCCCGAAGGCCAAGCGGTATCTTATTACCTATATGAGACTGATAAGTATCTGCATCTTACTTGTCACCTTCCAAGATGACGAATTAGACAGTACATAGGTTTTCTGCCTAATAGAAAGATGAACTCGAGATGTTGACAGCACCTAGATGAAATTCTCAAGATTTCAACAGCACTTAAGAGGCAACCTCTTACCCGCCTGTCGTGGATCAACATTTGCAAGTTACAATCGACTGGGGTATACTTGGAATGCTGGAACACTTAGAGGACGGTCCACAGGTAGCCTTCTTCTTCAATCTAGAGGCGTCTTCTCTTTATGGCGGTTATTACGAGAGCGTAACGTACCCAGTGATGTTATTTTGCGATTCAGTGGCCTATGCTCCAGATGCTGCAATGACGTGTCAAGTCAAATCGGACTAAGAATACCGGAGGTACGCAACTTCTGTTTATCACTACTACCGAATGGGTTTTAACCTCTAATGCAATTGTACCATGCTTGAATGCTCTCCTCTACCGAGAAAAAAAAAAAAAAGAAAAAAGCCCGCGCACTCTACTTTTAGCAGATTCTATGGTCTAAAGGTCTAAAAAATGTCGTTTCTCGTGACTCATGTTTATCTTCTATGCCAAATCCTCAAACCACTTCTATGCCCATCCGATTTTTAGAAGCTTGTAGCCACTCTCATCGCCTCGCCCAACTCCACTGCGTTTTTCGATGATCTCATTGTACAGCGCTGTAAGCTGTTTCCCGTTCTTTCCCCGGGGACGATCAACCGCCGTGAAAGCGCCCTCTACCGTGTCGCTGACACCATTGAATTTGCCATTCCAGCGAACAGTAACTAGAAGCCAAAACACTCCATCCGGTGCGAGCAGTTGCGTCGCGCAATCTCGCAACCAGGTTGCGTGTTCTGGTGCGTAAATGACGTCTGTTGCGATGATAATTTGCGCCGAGACATCCAAGGGAGCCTCTAACACGGGCGCGGACCAGTCGAGGGCCGTCATCTGGACGGGGCTCGACTCCGAGGAGGGGAAGTTGATAGAGATATTCGACTTCAGATTGGCGAGTACCGCAGGGTGGTAGTCCGTTGCGACAATGACTGATCTCGATGCACCCAAGTGGGGAAGCATTTTCCCGAGTGCCAGGCTCACGAGTCCAGTTCCTGCACCCAACTCGATGATGCGCGGCGAGGAGCCGAGTGAAGGTTGTGTAAGGCCAAATCGGGCCGGGTCGGCGCACATGAGATCCGAAAGGACAATGGATGCACCCCAACTTTGAAGACCGACGTCGTCTGGGTCAGCAGAATTCGTCCCTGCAAGTCGGTCATTGAGCCGGACTGTCACGGGAACACGACTATCAGTTGCCGCAAGCAAGAGTTGGAACGAAAAGTCTCGGGTGTAGTCGTTATCACTCTCATCTTGGTCGTCATCATCCTCAGGAGGGGCGAAAAAGGACTCAAGAACGCAGGAAGCCTGCTCAAGGGCAAGCTGACAGGCGTCCTCTGAGGTAAAACAGGATAGGGTCTCGGCTCGGGCGATAAAGCCCGTCAACCAGCGTTCGGCAAAGCTGCGTTCAAAAAGATCGGCTCGGAGGGCCGCAATATGATGGTCAACGCCATCAATCTCTTCGTGGTCGTCATCGGTCTCAGACACATAACCGGAGTCGACTACGGATGCAGCATGATGAGAAAATTTGTGGTCAGGGTTCAACTGGAATGCAACGGAGATGGGAAGTGAGCAGTAGATGGTCGATAGGCTCTGGATAGCGGATGCAACCTGAGACTCGGTGAGTTGATCCAAGGTCCGGAGCGGCGGAAGGCTGCTCGATGGCGGCAGCGGATGTGCTGCTGGCTTCATCTGAACCCGTTTCTTTGGCGATGGCGATCAGCCTGTGTGGATAAGGCGGGGGGGGCAAAATGTGCCGTATCTAGTAATTAACGTCGGATGAAGAAGTCAAAAGGACAGAAGGCCAAAGATACTGAAGGGAAATTCGTACTAAAAAGACCATCATGTAATACCAAGTGCCCACCTATTACTCACTGACAATCAGGGTAACGGAGATAAGGTCCCAGACACCAGTGGGACCCGCCTTCCTAAATGAGGGCATCGTGAAAATTTTTGGCTGCCCTACCCTTGGGCTTGTGTGGACGTGGCTTGTGCTTTGGGTGCCAGACTCCGGGAATCGCACTCGCTATTCATTCCGTAAAGTACTCCATAATCCTGAATCCATCTCGATTTACCCCAGATAAAGGAAACATTGGACCCGCAAGAAAATGGGAGGATGGAGCGCATGTCACATTATCTCGCTTTAGAGAGCCGAGGGCAGGGTGGCGGCATCTTTTCGGCCAGGGCCGTCCAACGTGTCTCAGTAAATCACAAGTCACTTCTTCAGTGCGGCTCGATTGAGTTGAATCGGGGTACGTATATGCCATGCACAGCTCTGAGCTTCTAGCCATCTTTCAGCACGTGTCTGAGATGGCAATTTGGATTGGACATTGACCACATCTGCATTGTTTGTCATCTCGAGCCCGGCCTCGCCCCGATAGAATTTTTTCCCTTTTTTTTTTTTTTTTTTTTTTTTTTTTTTCCTCCCCTTTTTCTTCCCTTTTCCCCCCTTTTGGCTCACTTTTGTCCCAGGTGATTAGTGGGTCTGAGTGCTCAAGGGCTCACGGCCCATTAAATGACTCGGTTTTGCCATTGCCACTTTTCATTCACCGCTTTCTTCTCTTTTGGGCCGACACGACAACCTCTTGCACCCATTGGTTCAATCGCCCAAACCGACATCATGATCGGGATTGTCGGTATAAATACGTCAGAGCCTCAATAAGGAAAATTAGTGAGCTGAGGGGAAGCAACGGTTTAGACAAATTTTAGAGACCCTGAAAGACTTAATGATGTCGTGCTATCTGTGGCGTTTCAATTCCTCTCATCGTCATTCGTGAACTGTGACTGACATTTAATACCTAAACTGCACCATCTGCCAACAACAGAAAAGTCCCTATTTCGTCCCTACATTAAAGGCATTATCCATCCCCTTAACTCCTCGTAAAAATGAATTAGTTGTTGAATGCGACAATGCCCGTCATTTTAGACCAAGATCATGTCTGGGTCAAGGGGCATCGCACAGCGCCTTCTCAACGGTCAACGAACAACCCATAAAAAGTCTGATTCCTGAAACCTTCAGTTCTTGGAGGCGCAAGAATTTGCTAGCACTTTTTTACTGAACTATAACGAATCCTTCATCCCCAAACCCTCTTTCTCAAAGCATTCTGACTATAGATTGTTCAACTAGTACGATGAAATGAATGAGACGGAAGTACATTTATTCAATGTTCTTCGCAATGGATGCTGTCCGAACTGGCAGCACAGTGTTAGTTGTCACACATAAAGCCGGACTCACTACGACACAGGAGGCTTATAAATGCAGCTCTTTTACGGAGAGAACGAGTTGAACACGCTGTAGGTGTTTTAGTTAACACATAAATAGCCAGTGAGTTTTGTCATGGCTGCGAAACTCTTCTTCATTCAACTTTTAGAACCGCCGGTGTGGTGGTCCGCGCGATTGCATATTTGGACATCAACCTATGAGCCTTTTGCTCCGAACGAATCAAGAAGGATTGAAGATGCCCTACATATACAATGTGTTGAGTGAGGCAGACCAACGCTTCATTGAGTCCATGTACTATTTCAGGGGCCAATGCAAAATGACAACTGAACTCACTTGGAGTCTGGACGAGCAAGCAAATACTAGTTTTGTCCTTAACGTTAGTATTGAGATTACAGAAGTGCCCGTAACGTGGAATATCCTATAATGGGTGAAACTGGTGCTATACTGGTGTATGATCTGAGAGAGGTTTAGAAGTGCGGGCTGAAGTGGCAGTGGAAGATATCCCGTTTGGCTGCCCGCCACCAGCCCAGTCCCGCGGTCACCCAGTCACTTCAGTCCGGAACTCCGGTTATTGCAACAATTAGTACACAAGTCCCAATTAGTACAATGCGCTTGGTTCACTCTTGAGGCGGCTTGAATATTACTTTTATGGATGAGAAATACACCGAGATCAATCAATTTCTTGCAAGGTTTCGCATAGCAAAGTACACCGAGGAGACTTAGTTTTCATTTATAGGCTATCATCATTGGATAAGTTCCCCACACATTTCAGTTGGCTTGAAGAGTTAATAATTATGGGGTGATCCCGCGGGTTATTTTTTGCAAGTCCCGAAAGTGCACAGGGTAGATTGCGATGGACGAAAGTAAAATTGCGTGCGCGATCTGTGCAGATCATATGGCGTGAGTTGTATCCCGAACTACGCCACCGACTGTGTAAAGAGAATTTCAAGTGTGCTATGGCCACCAACATCAACTGCAGGTTGAGTTTGTTGATGAGCTAAAGACTTGAGTAGCAGCATTTTTTATGTCACCTCCCACTCTGCTAGAATTCCTAAGAGTTCCATGGATCAAAAGCGACCGATAAGCAATCAAGGTCAGTGTGACGACATGAGCTACCAACCTTCTGCTCAGAGAGAAGTCATGTTGAATGATAAGATATGCCAAGGCTGCCAAGTGCTGTCTAGAGTATATTTGGAAGGTTAAAATGCAGCCCAGGCGAGTTCACTGCAACGTCGTCTTGAAATTGAGGGGTTTGCGTTGCAGCGAGGATACGGACAAACTTCTTGAGCTCCAGTTGAGTAAGAATACAGCAGTGTAAGTATTTTTCCTCCACGTAAAGGATGCGAATAAATACCACCTGCTGTCACAGCGGTAGGTCAATTTTGGCATTCAGCCTTTCTTTCTCATTCCCACTTAATGATCACAATGCGATCTCTTGTTCTGTTCACTCTGTTAAGTGCAGTGGCATGCGCCAGCAGCTCTGTTTCCTATGACGGCTACCAAGTCTTTCGAGTGAAGACTGGGGCTGATCGAGCCATAGTGCAAGAGAAACTAGCATCTGTCGAATATGACGAGTGGAACAGCATCACAAATCAGCATATCGACATTGCAATTCCACCAGGGCAGATTGGAAAGTTCAAGTCTTTGGGACTCCAGTTTCAAACAATGCACAATGACTTGGGAACTTCCATTGCAGCAGAGTCATCCGCTGGTTCGGTCTGGAAGAGACAAGTTGATGACCTGAGTTGGTATGATAGCTACCACTCTTATGACGATCATAGGTCATATCTGGAGGCACTACACGCGTATTTTCCCAACAATTCAGAAATAGTATCGTCTGGGACATCATTTGAAGGCAGAGACATCTTTGGTATCCACTTCTGGGGAGCGGATGGACCGGGAAAACCAGCAGTCTTGTGGCATGGAACGGTCCACGCCAGAGAATGGATCGTAGCGCCGGTTAGTACTCTAAAAATGAAAGTTTTACAGAAAGTTTTTCTGATGAAAAATACTTAGGTGGTGGAGTACCTCACGCTTCAGCTCATTCAAGGGTACGGTGTCGATAATACCACAACAGGTTTTGTAGACGCATATGACTTTTGGGTTTTCCCTTTCGTCAACCCAGTAAGCCGTTCAACCAGCTTTTGTGGACCAATATCTGACTCGATGTGTGGCAGGATGGATTTGTTTACACTCAAACAACTGAACGACTGTGGAGAAAGAATCGCCAACCACCTCCTATTACAACGAATTCGACATGCTATGGGCGTGATATAAACCGGAACTGGTCATACAAGTGGGATGCCAACCCCTCAGGTGCTTCTACAGACCCTTGCTCCAATACATATAAAGGAGTAGAGCCAGGTGATACCCCAGAGATTAAAGGTTTGCAGCAGCTAGTAGATACGCTTCGGGACACAAGCGGTCTTAAGCTCTACATCGACTGGCACAGCTACAGCCAGTATTTCCTCGCTCCAGTTGGATACAATTGTACATATTATATTGACACTCTTGGCCAACATTTGCAGCTAGCAAAGTTGGCATCGAATGAGATTCGAAAAGTAGAGGGCGTTAGGTTCACTTACGGCCCGAGCTGTGTAACCCTTTATCCGACCACAGGTGGAAGTATCGACTACACTTACGCTATTGGAAAAGCGGACTGGTCTTATTTAGTTGAGTTACGTGACACTGGAAATCATGGTTTTGTTCTGCCGCCAGAACAGATTCGGGGCAGTGCAGCTGAGCAGTGGGAAGGCATGAAAGTTATTCTCAGTCTTCTGGACGAGATATTCTTTGATGGAGAAGGCCTGGCAGCATTTTGAAGACCTAGCAAATAGTGGTGTGGCTTTTTTATTCACCTCGAATACAACTCTTAAAAGAACCAAAATTCTACTCATCTCACAAAATGAATACGCAAGTTATCTTTCTCTTCAAAAAACCAAATATTCCGGATCTGTGAACAACTTTTACTATTTATTTATTCAAAAATATCTAGCCCTCACCTTCTTAATATTGCCCCTGACGATTTGCAAGCCCTTACCAATATCAAAACTAAAGATGAGAAGAAAAAAATTGTTCTAGTCTTAACAGATAGAGTAAGCTGATTTGTTTACTATGAAAGGGGAATTGTAAAAATTTGATTGGCTAACTAGCACTTTTGTAGAACTCCTTTTCAAATGCAGCCATTTCAATCCTTTGCATGTTACAGTAAGATGTTCCCTCCATTGACGTGGCTTTTCCCAGGCAGGCTGATGCTGATGATATTGGATTTAAGTAGATCATTGACAAGCCCAAATAACATCCCATCACAACCTTTAGCGGCCATTAAATCGACGGTTACAGGCAACTGTTCCGTGCTATTTGTCACCGAGGATGCATAATCCACCTGTCCTATAGGAATCACTATGTCTGGTGTCTTAGACATAACGGATATCTTGCTAGTTGAAAAAGGTTTGGGTGACTGAGGTCCAGTAATATACCTGTCTCGAGGTGTGGACACTGGCGTTCTGGGAACGTAAAGGAGTAGCCGATTGGAGCAGGATCGTGGATCTCGATGAAGGATTTCATTGTTAAACCATTCCATGAACAGCGCCTTGCTTTTCAACCCTTCTTCAATAGTTGAATTAGATCTGTCTCCCAAAGCCCAGCGTTGCAAGGGTGCTGGGTTGATGTGAGGCAGCCTCCCTTCGTTTGCTGCGGCATAGTCTGCATAAAATGGGTCTCGCACGAGCCTTGCTTGTTCTTGAGCAGATAATACCTCATACGTGTTGTTTATAAATGAAAGAAGATTTGGTTGTTCAGGATTCATTGCGCCCCAGGACTCAGTCAAGTTGAATGGTTTTACTTTTGCTGACAGGAAGTCTGTGAGGTTAGCTAAAAATCCCTGCACAATGTGATCGAATGTGGAATTAATGCTGTCAGGAAACCCAATCGTAAGGATTTCGCTTGGATAAGAAAACGACATATTTATGTTTGATCCATACAACGATTGTGCAGCCTCAGCCCAGAGTCGCGGGTCCCGGGCTAATACACCGATTGTGTCAAATTCGGGTGCAAGTGGCATTGTACCGTTCAAGGAGACCAAACCATGACCTTTATGTGTCAGCAATCTTACCCAGAGGTTTTAGTGTCACTGATGTACTTACTAGGGCGGTTTCCAAAAATTCCTTGGACTTGGCTTGGTGATCTTATGCTTCCGCCTGTGTCCGACCCAACGGCGATATCAAGCCACTCGTAAGCCGCTAGAACGATAGATCAGCGACATGTCCAAATAAAATCAACTGAAAGTGGCTGACCAACCTTCACCGGCTGCTGGACCGGCTGATGAAGATGAAGGATCCTGGTATCCGTCCCCTCGGGGATTGAATGGAGCGTGGTAATCCACCCAGTCAGCAGTGGCACTCTCACCGTTCGCAAACTGGCTAGTTTTCATCTTTCCTATCAAAACCGCACCAGCATTGAGTAAATTCTGAATACTTGGTGCAGTTTGGTTTGCAGGTGGATATAAGTGGTACCAGGCTCTATTGCCATTGGAAGTCCTTAAGCCATGGACATCGAATATATCTTTAACCCCAATTCGAACACCTGCCAAAGGCTTTCCGATGGTTCTAGTGTAGTATAGACGCGAAGGAACAGCTACAGCCAGTGACTGTCCAGGGAGGCTAGCTGGCAACACTGAGTGGGACCCATCTCCATTGGAAATCACGGTCTCGCTGAACGCTTCCTGAACGTCCGCGTATAACCGATATGCTTGGTGCACATCGCCGGCAGATGAGGCAAAGTAGGGCCCACTAGGAATGATAGAGGTATTTCTGAGATGTGGTTGGGTTACAAAGACGGTAGTGTTGCCTAGAATTGAGATGTCTGGGCGAAAGATGGGTTGATTGTGGGATGTTGACTGGATATAAATAACTATGATAATTGTTTAATATTTTATATCGGAATGAAAAAAAAAAAAAAAAGGCAGATAAGGAAATCGGCTGATTTTGAGGTTAAATGAAAAAGAAAATATACCTTTCGAGAAGCCAGTTTGATATACATCATCTGAGCTGGAGAAGTTGGCAAGTGTTTGTTTCAGTTGGTCAGAGTCTATACCGGTCGAGTCAATTGTTACAACAGTGAAAGGAACCAAACCGAGTCCATCTGACAATTTGAAAGCATCATTTTGCACACGTCCGACAGGACTTGGGGCAACAAAATAGGAAACACCATCCAGGAAAACTGTGCTTCCTGTCAGATGAAATGTGCTGGCATTCACATGCAACGTATTGAAAGTGAAAAGAAAGATACCAAGAATAAAGTGCATGACTTTGAGTAAATGATTGAATTAAGGGCTTGAGATAGGACAATCTGGGATACACCGCTATTCCGAGGGATGTGCAAAAAAATGAATCGCAGGTTAACAGCGTGATCGATTCTACATGTATACACAATGTTCCCAGCTCAAAGTTTGTGGGTCTGATGAAAGAGCGAGGTCGGAAAAAACACAACATTCTATAGACAAACACTTTCAAGCATCGATTTATTTTACTGTTTCTTTCGTTATCTTTCTCTGCAAGGTTCAGCGTGTCCAAAAGGTTGTTACAATCTGCAATGTAACATCAAAGCCTGTGGACCTTAGACCTTGATGGTCTCTCGTCTAGCAAACCCCTGGCAGAACTTGAATAACCGCCAAAATAAGCAAGTAATCTTAGCTGATCGACGCATACCAACCCTTCTCAGTTGAATTCATTGACATTGATATGCGTCTGGTTCCCCTGTAAAGACAACTTGGTGGGACTCTGCGCTAATGCAATGAGGTGACATTAATTCTAGGTAGCTTGTCAACCTAACTCAAAGACTTATGACTCCTATTGCAAGAAATAAGATAACATTTTATCATTAATAAATAAATAAATATATGATATACTGCAATGCAGTGCATCAAGTTTCCCACTTGCAGATTTCGACTGACGTCAACCCTAGTTAACACATCTATCAAGGTACAAGACCTTTAGATCAGACCAAAATAGGCAGAAGTTCCCGACTGGCCTTGGAAAGAGGCGTTATGTTGTATGACGATATCGGAGGGATAATCATGGTTGCGATCAGCTTTATAAACCGAAGATGCACCAGTTAATTCCTGCGTACATCTAATGAGAAATCAGCGGCAATTTCAAGATCAAGGAAGCTAAACCGTCTTGACCCAATCCGACATGGTCACAAAAGGATTCTATTCCCGCTGGAGCCTTACCCTCCTCTGGGCGCATCTCTATCCATCGGTACTTGCAAGGGACGCGCAACAGAGCCCAGTCCATGACAGGAGAAGCACCGGGTCAACCAAACCGCTTCTTCAAGATTTTGACTCTAACGGGGCTTGGTTTCAACAGGTGGCTGATCTGAGTAACGATTATGCCTCTCAGAATGGCTCCAATGTATCGATCGCCATTGTAGGTGGCGGAATCTCTGGGCTTGCCACAGGACTGATGTTGGACAGTGTTGGTGTCCACAACTGGGAAATCATTGAAGCTAGTGACCGTGTTGGAGGGCGGTTCCGAACCATCTTCGTGGGGGAAACGGAAGAATTTGCCGAAATGGGTCCCATGAGGCTCCCTTACAAAGTCACATACAAAAGCGACAACTCGACTCATGAATACACCGAGCATCGAATGACTTTTCAACTGGCCGAAATCCTCAACACCATGAACCACAATGATCCCAGATGGAAGATTGATTTCATTCCATGGATTCAACATCACCCCAACGAACTACTGGCCCTTAACACCGGCAGGCATCCAGACGGCAGGATTCCCACCCGCGCCGAAATTGCTGCGAACTCCAGCCTTGGCACCCAATCTGTCTTATCATCATTGGAATATAACAATACGAAGAAAGAGATGAATCGCATCTTGAAGAACGAAACATTTCTTAGAGAGATCCAGGCCGATGTGTGGAGGGCGCACAAACATGTTATGGATCTGGGCTATGATGACTGGAGCGAGCAGTCTCTATTACGCCATCGCTTGAACGCAGACGAGAATGTCACCGACGCTATTTGGACAGCCACAGACTATGATGTTATTTGGGACGAGATGGTACATAACTCCAACTTAGCACTCGATGGGTCTAGCGACTCTCTCGGAGAAACCGAGTGGAAGTGCGTCGATAAGGGGTTTAACCGAATTACTGATGCTTTCATCCCACATGTGTCCGATAGGCTGGTTCTTAATCGCAAAATTCGGAAGTTGGAACCTGTGAAAACAGCAGCTGGTAACGTACGCACGCGACTTTCGTGGTACCCCAGCACAAAAAATCGCACGTTTGAATCTAAGGAGTACGACTACACTATCATGGCAGTCCCGTTCACCATGACGCGTTTCATGGATCTGCCACAATTCTCTTCTGTTCTCGATCGAGCTATCAGCGAAGCTGGTCTTCGATTCAAGTCGGCTTGCAAAGTATCTCTGCTATTCTCGGAAAGATTCTGGGAAAAGGGAGCACAACCCATATTTGGGGGTTACTCAAAACCAGAAGATAAGGCTATTGGAGCTCTTTACTATCCTGTCTATGGCTTGAATGAGTCGCGGCCGGGTCTAATTACACACTATCGAGGCGGTGATTGGAGCGACAGATTTGTCAGTTTCAGTGAGGAGGAACATGTTGGCTTGGTTCTTGACGCTATTGTCAGTCTGCATGGAGAAGAAACCCGAGAACTTTACACTGGTGATTATGCACGTCTTTGTTGGCTCGAGGATGAACATACTGCGACATCTTGGTGTCGGCCTGACGTTGAACAACACAAGTTGTACATTCCGTCTTACCATCGCACGGAGCATAATACGATTTTCGTTGGTGAGCATACGGCTCCGACACATGCTTGGATCAGCTCGTCGCTGTATTCTTCAGTTAGAGGTTCCGTTCAACTGTTGCTCGATTTGGGTCTTGTTTCTGAGGCCAAGGAATTGAATGAACGGTGGATGGGCCAATGGATCAAGAACGATTGATCTTTATTGGGCCAATGGTACCTTTAGACGGCGTGGAAGTTAATTAGCAAGACAACAGGAATTACGAAGAGACGCACGTACTTTTACCTCTGTAGTGTGAATCTTGGAGGGATCACGAATCCACACTACCCTCGATGTGTTTGGTGAGCATTGAGTTTATCAACACAATGAATGACACAGTCACCTCTTGAATAAACTTGTACTACCAGTGGAAGAAGAGCATGCTCAAATCACTTATGCCATCAATTTAAATCTATGCCGGCATTGTGTATTAATCTTGTAGATGGTTGCAGTTTGCAAAAGCTTGTGGAAAATCTAAAGCATTAGGTTTCAAGTGAAGCATATGATCAAGTGTTGTTTTGTGAGACTCGATCTCCCCTTCTGGACTTACCCGGTCAATAGTGAGCACGTGTGGCAGCTTCTACATGTGCTTTTGTGAGAGGCTACCGACAACATCTCGTAACAAGTACTATTTATCTTGCTCGATTTCGAACTCGCCCTTGCCCTTGGTCTCTTTAACATTGCCGAGTCTTCCTGTCCCCACCATTGTGCTCAACCGCAGAAGCTAGGCACAGACTACGTCTGGCTCCCGCTCACCATCCCAGGCACGACCTTCACCTTCTCTAACCACGTGAACTATGTTCCCAACGTCGGGGCCGGAACCTGGGCGCCCGGGCCGACGGAGACTTCGTACGATGGCGAGTCTGCGACGCTTTCGGGCGGCGCCAAGACCATCTCTTGCGCCGGATGCAGCGGCGGTTCTGCGGCGGGATACCTTGGCGTGTCGGCTGCCGGTGCGGTGCAGTTCTCCAATGTGAGCGTGCAGTTGTCCGGCCGCACGACAGTGAGGATCAAGCACAACAACGGAGACTCGAGCCAGCGGTGGGTGACGGTGACATGCAGCGGTGTTTCATAGACGGTCTCGTTCTTGCCTACCGTCAGTGGGATTCCGGACAGTAGTCTTACTCAGCTTCACACTTACCATGTTTCGTAGGCGGTAATATTCGTAAACCAACGTCATCCTAAGAAAAATTAAACATGGCTGCTTATTGAGTTTCTTTCAACTTGCTTCAATTTTAGTCTTAAAATCGCGGTTTAAAGTCGAACACGAATATCAATTCACTAGCTGCTCTACCTCCCTGGTGATCCCCAATTTCAAGCCGCTTCTACTAGATCTACTAAGAAACACCCATTTATGTCAACGAACAACTTGCAATCTTTGCCGCAACTACCATTGACTTAAGACATGTTGGCCATAATCAGCTATCATACCACAAGAAACTAGAACACCTAATTACCATTACTGATTTGGGCAGCCGGAATGGAAATTTAGATGGATGCTTTCCTCGGTTTAAATGAACGCCTCATCATTAATATTACCTTCCGCCCTTAGTTTATCGGTCTCTAAGAACGGGTAGTTAAATTAAGTAGTATTAAGATATCTCACTGATGCCCATTGTAGCTATTATCATTTCTTATTCCTGATGTTATGGTTTTTTGAAGATACCGCAAGTCAGTGTAGGTTTTTCAAGTCTGTTCAACTACGGTGTTAAGGTTCCCCAGCATACAGCGGAAGCTTTAGTGACTTCTATCCTGTTATGAATGGTGCAGCACAAAGAGGATTCCAAATTGGGGTACTGCAAATCACGAAAAAGCTCGTACTTGGCATTTATAAGAGCATCAGCCTTGAAATATTAAAGAAACGAGCGAGTGGGAATGACGATAAACTCTGCGTGTGCAAATAAGGGCCACAGGTGCAACATAAATAAGCAGCTACTAGGATGCTCGTCCCTCTACATCGCAGTATATTTGGCCCTAACTCCAAGTGTTCACTGCAGTTGCATTTATCTTGTTAGCATGTTTCCAAGCCCAGCTGTCTTCAACTCAATGTGGCTCAGGTTGCAGTCAAAGTCCAATACCTAGATCAACCCACCCAATTCAGCCTCGTGTTTGCCAGTTTTTACTACAAAACAATACCGCGACATCAGGACGGCTTTAAAAAAAGCTGAAAAAAAAAAAAAACTAATGAGAGCAATCTTATTATTATCTCGAGCTTGTTGTTGAGTATCTTAGGCCTTGTACGGGCACGAAAGCGAGCGCGACTTCCCCACATTGCAAGAGCGTATGCCTTACCCAACTGGGAAGGTAGGTCCATCACAGAAGCCTCCTACAGAGTACAGTACACACGGTACAGTATGAACAATACCACCAAAAGCTTGTTGGCCGATAGTGGCTACAGGGATCGCGGCCATGGCAACTCGAAAAAGTTGTGTGAGCCGGTGTCATGAGCCAATCGTTCGACTAGTTAAGTGGGAAGTCTCAGCAATACGAAGAAAGTGGATCTGTTTTTATCCTGCCATTGGGTCCAGCCAAGAAAAACATGAGGAAATTGTAGATAAATAGCAGCCATGCATTCTTGCTATTGGCAACGTTGAACGGTTGTGAAATTCGCCTTTATTCTGCCCGAAGTCGATTCTCAACCGCAAAAATGAAGGGACTGATCATTGCCCTGGCTTCTTTGGCCTTCAATGGCGCCGCTGCGACCCCACTGTATGAGCAAAGGCTGGCGCTCCGAGGATGCCTTGTCTCTGAGGGTGCCACCCCAGATCCCGCTTCCCAATACAACGACAGGCTTGCTCTCCGCCAGAACCTTCCCACAAATTTCACTGTTGATGTCAACTTCCATATCGCCAGTACTGAAGATGAATCAGATCTGATTACAGATGAGATTGTTGACGCGCAATGGAAGGTTCTTCATGAGGCCTTTGCCAAGTATGACATTAATCTCGTCCTCAACTCCACCGAACGTACCGTCGATAACCTCACGGGCTCAGCATTTCTCATCAATGAGGGGCCAGAGAAAGGTTGGGTTTATCACGAGGAGGAGTATAATGCCTATTTAAAGGCGTCACGTAAAGGTGGATACGACGCGTTGAATTTGTACTTCTTCAGCAGCTACTCACCTGGTGCCACGGGCTATTGCCAATGGCCTACGCCGCTCGCTGAAACGGACGAGGAGACTTTTTACAAAGATTCATGCCAGCTGAGCGCGATGACAATGCCTGGTTTTACAGTCGAACAAGGAGGTTTTGAGGACTGGAACTTGGGTCACCTCGCGATCCACGAGACCGGTCATTGGTTTGGTCTAAACCATACTTTTGCTGGCGGCTGTTCAGAGACTGGCGACTTCGTTTCCGATACACCGGCGCAGCGAACACAAATTTATGGATGCCCGGTTGGTTCGGATTCCTGCCCAGAACTACCTGGCTTGGATCCAATCCATAACTATATGGGGTACACTGATGATTCTTGGTATGTTTTCATGTTTCAATTTCTGCCGTAAAATCTGCCACAACCAATCAATAAGTTGCTGAAATCTAACGCACGCCAATTGAATAGCACAAACGAATTCACCTCTGGTCAAAAAGATCGCATGTTCTCTACTTTCTTTGGCTTCAGAAGGAAATAAAGGATCACTATGCGCCACTTAGACTCACGACGCTCCCCATACTGTTAGCACCTAAAAATAATGCTACGCTTGCGCTATTTGGAATACATCTTGAAGTCTACATCTTCAGACTTTTCTATCAGTATCGCCTAGTCACCTTTGCCAGCAATTGCTTTATGATTAGGATCGACAGCTTTCAAGTTTTGACAGTTTGAATACAATGTAATATGTTTTGGGCGTCATGTTAAATACCTCAAGTAAGGCATATGCGACCAAATAGTAAGTACTATCAAATAGAGAACTGTTCTACACAATGATGAAATTATTTACCAGTGATACCGAGCGTTTAAAACAGGATGTGAGTCTTATGAATTTTCATTGAGACCTAACCATTCCTTCATTCTCGTCTTGAGCCTGGATGCACTAACATTCCCATGTTTGTTGTTGTTCGTGTCATAGCTCCAGACGAGCTTGACGGCCAAGTTTCAGCATCCATGCTTAACTTGTAATGATCAGGTGTCTTCATCACTGTCAGTAGAAGAAAACAGACCTTGTTGTAAACACTCAAGTGGAAATCTATGTTCTTTTCGTTGTTATACTTTGTTGCGATCATGCACATCCCTAAGCGAGTTGGACGAAGTTGAAGAACAACTGGGGGTCTACTATCCGCGTCACGCTTGAATCTTCCTGCTCATCGTTTAGACTCTTACAAAGTTCTGACTATTTCTAACGGCTTGATTGATATGGAATTTAGAAAATTTGGTTCACTAGAGATCCGAAGGTGTGGTCGTGTTGTTACGTTTGCGTCAGGCAAACTTACAAATTCCGCAGCAATAGGCCTAGATTGGAATGAAAAAAGTGTATGATGACGTCACTCCATCACAAAAAAACCATCCCATTTTATCTCATCACAGAAGGCATGTTGACGCCGCGAGGTTGATGAGTCTTTAAGAAAATCTGGTGCGTCTATATGAAAAAGTATTTCGGCGTAAGCCAACATAGTTTATGTTAAAAGTTGAATGTTGATAATCCATCTGCGAAAGGAACAAAGTACCTTGCGGCACACACTTCTACCAATACCTTAGCCAACGCCTCGCACCTACGACACAATCCTGGCAAAATCTATCAGCCGCAAGGATCAGATCCTCCCAGTACAAGGATGCGTCCGGCAAACCCTGGGCATTTGAAGCGAAGCAAACATTGCTCCCCTCCCTATTGCCATTGTGCAGCCAACGTACGCTTCGTCTGGCACTTGATAGTAAATTGAATCCATCTGCAATATTTATTAGTGCAAGTAAATCGGCCGATCAAGAAAATGAAAAGCATTTCAGTTTCTATTTTAGTCAATAAGAACGAACAGCATTGGCTCACAACTCAAAGATACAAACAAGCTTCGAGACCTGGGTAGTTGGGTCATAAGAAAACTAACAATCTGAAGCACAAAAAGAATCCCTCTCAAAGACCGTACTAAGTAATACCCGTAACACCGTACAAACACAATATCTTGTAGAAAACCAGCTCTTAACCCAATGGGTGACTTTGCAGGATCACGGGGCTAATTCAAGGGTGCATGTATATCGCATTGCATTTACCCGCCCGATAGACATGACAAACACTGCATTGGCCAATGTAGAGATAGAACAAACAAGGCCAGTACCAACTGAATAGATGAATATGATAAAAATAAGAAGGAAGACAAGAGTAGCAAAATAACCGTTCCAATCATAATGAGCGTTGTATCCGCTTGGATCCTATTGGAGCCACCACACTCTTGTAATCCATAAACCCCCATCCTGGCGGGGTCGGAATATGTACTTGATATGGGGGCCATGAAATCCATGAAGGGAATCTTTACCCTCCCTTGGGCAATTTTAATTGAACTTTTGTGATGTTGGGAGCAAAAACGAGTCTTGGCTGACATACAACGTAATCCACCAGCACCAACGGGACTGTACTTTATACATATGATGAGATATTATCACTTCGGCCCCCAACCCCGAGCAAACAAGATGATTGTAAGATGCTAAGAGCGGGCGTGTAAGAAGAATTACTATCTAGGAGAGTTTCTTTTTTTAGATGCGACTTACTACTTAAGCACTTCCTTAAAGACTGCAAAGACGCCCGTGGCCTGTTGAACCATAATTGCATACACATCTACGCCAAACCTTTTGATCGAAGATTTATTTACACAACACCATAATGATTATGCAACTTGTCAATGGGCGCGCTCTTATGGATCATGAACTCTCCATACTATTCGTGCAAATCGCCGGCAATGTGTTTATATTCATTCTTTTTGTTCTTGCGGCCTATCCTTTGGCTTCATTCAACGTCCGCTCAAGAATACGAGCACTAAATCGACACACGCTACCAAAGGCCTTTGGTCGTTTACTCACAATAAAATCCATTAGAGATACCTGGTCTATACTTTTCGATACCGAAACCTTTCTTCGCGGGCTTCAGTACGTTGAGTACCTCGAAAATTATCGATTCGTGATATTTTATTGACTTACCACATTTGCAGAAAGGAGTTCCAGGGTTCTCTTGTTCCCTTGTCTCTACCAGGACGATGTCTTAGCATTGCCCTGCCTGGAAAGGCAGTCCGAGATGTTTTCAGAAACTCTCGAGAGTTCACTCCTGTTCCCGGGCTTCTAGATGCACTCGTTATTTTCTTCGGGTTGACATCTGCTGATGTCGCTATCTTCGACCATTCGCACATCGCCAGCTTTGAAGAACACGACAAAGAGAGCCATAAAACAGATCACATAGACCCTTCAAGAAGAATTATTGAGCATCAGCGAAGAGATTTCTTACTTTTTCTGACCGGAGATTCATTAAAAAGCATTATTGAAATGTTTTCGCGAAACTTTCGACGCCAACTTCAACATCATCTTGATCCAAGCAAAAGTTTGACTCAGCTTCCAGATGTTTATAGATTCTTTAGAGATTTAATCTTCAAAGCTGAAGTCGAAGCCCTATATGGTAAACACCTTTTTTCGGTATGCCCCTCGTTCTGCGAAGACTTTTGGGAATTTTACGAAGCATTTCCTATTATCTCTCGTGGGCTACCTAAATGGCTTTTCCCATCCCAATATCGGAAGAGAGACAAACTGTTGGCCCATTTTCAATGTTGGCGACGACGGTGCCATCAATTATTTGACTGGACAGATGACAATTTGGTCAATTGTGACTATGAACCGATATGGGGGACGCACTACATAAGAAGAATGGTTCGGCGACATGAGAAATTGGGCTTTTCAGACGAAGGAATCTCTACAGTTATGCTTGGTTACCTGTTTGTGTAAGTTTGGTGTCATCTGATATTCTCCATTCGCACTATGCCGGCCTTGCTTGGCAGCTAACATGTCCACTAAGAACTACCGCAAACACCATTCCCGCAGCTACATGGATGATATTACATACGTTTCTTGATAAGCCCCTTTTATCTCGAATGAGACATGAGCTTTCAATAAATGGGTCTGAAACAGCACTACCAAGGGATGCAGTCAACCTTGGGAGCGCACCACTTCTTAACTCTGTTTATCGAGAAACCCTTCGTCTTCATATTGCAGGCGCTACTGGTCGCACCCGCGCCACTTCTGGGTTTGGTCCCCACCAAGGATCAAAAGTAACAATGACAGCTAGCTGGTTAGGTGGTTTGGACACCGCGTTTTGGAATCAGGGCCATATAATCAACGGCGGGCCAGAACATTCCGTTGAGATATTTTGGGCTGAGCGTTTTCTTCGCTATCCTGACGACACAAGCAGCGGACCCATCCTGATCCAAAAAGAAACCAATATTTCGCCGAGGACACGTATCACATCAGCCCCAAAGACAATACATGATGATGCTAAAGCCAAGCTAGTCAACTCCGGGCTTCAAGGGCATTGGTTTCCATTCGGGGGTGGGGCTTGGAGGTGCCCTGGGGAAGCTTTAGCCAAAAGCACTATTCTAACATCAGTGGCTTTGCTGTTGAATGAGTTCAATATCGATATTGTGAACGAAGGAGATGCATTGGAAGTCACAAGAATACATAAACATAGAACTTTACCCTTTGGAACACACGCATTTAATAAGCCAGTTCCAGTCCAGATCAGCAGACGAGCTTGAAAAACAGGAAGAATGGCATAAGAGGTTAAGCTAGGGTGTTTGTACAAATGTATACATGAGATTAGGCAATTACGAAAGCTTATTAAAGAAAATGCGTCTGATAAGACAGGTTTATAAAGAATAACATAGTAGTGCTTTCTAACTAAAGGCTGGTACATTATTAAGTCAATCTAGTGAGGCTGGATACGTTGATTGTCCAAATTACCTGAAACGACACACAGCTATGCATAGATGTGGTCGAAATAAGTTGGCGATTGATTAATGTTACTGCCTCCGTGTAAATATTGGAGTATTCGGAAGCTTAATGTATATCAACTCTCCCTTTTACTTCATTTTTCTGTTATCCGGTGATAGATGCGAAATCCTTTTCTGCTGTTTAATTGGACAAGAAAGAAATGTGATGTTACGGCCAGCTAACTGACAGTGGGTTTGTGTTAACAGTAAGCCAGGGATTGAGAGTAGTAACAGTCGTTCCGTGGTCCTGGTCGAATAGATCGTAGATCTTCAAAGGTCTTGGTGATCAGTCAAGGCCTCAACAAGAGTCGTAGAGTAGTCGTCACTTAGGTATAGCTGAAAGTACCGGTTAGGGTAATCACGAAGTTGATTGCTGAAGAACTAGGAAAGGTAGGACTCGAGAGGACTCGAGTCCCAACTATATACAAGTCTGGTTCCATGCTGAACACTTCCTGATCCTGGGGGACCGACACCCAGGACGTCGGTCCATCGCCATGGACCGCCCTTGGCACCGTCGGTCCTGTCCCAGGACCGCTTATCGTCCGTCGGTCCTGCTTATCGTCACGTGACCTGTATCCTAGTTCTTCCGTTCCGTGGGGGTTGTTACGACGTAACGGCTGACGGCCGTCCCTATAACCGCTGAGCCCCTGCGGGGTCGTCGTCAGTGGTCTGTTAACTGTCGGGTCGTAACATGTGATTTCAATTCCGCAGTTCGGGTTTTTTCTTCCGAAAGGTCAGCCCCTCCGTGACCTGCATTTTCTCTCTTGCCTATTAGCAAGAGAGAAAATGGAACACCAGAATTCAGAAAATGCACGGTCTTCTTGTTTATTTGGTAAGAGCGTGTTACTCACACGCTAGAGAATATGGCGAATAATTTGTCCTCTGATAACTTAGCTTTGGTGAGTTGCTGGTCATCCGCTTATCTGTCCCCCTCCCACAAGATGAATGAAACAGCTTGAAGGTCTATAAAAAAAACCCGCTCTCCTTGCGGATGATCTAAGTCAGAACTTGGCAACACAATCGGAGCCAACCTTGCAGATGTTCGTCAATGTAAAGAAGATCATTCCCGATTGCTCGGAAGGATCTGCATACCACATTATCCTATACGTCCTATGGAAGAGATCAGCTAGTCTCTACAAGGCACCACCTCCGCATCCGGCAAAGGGACTAACAATCAGGCTCAAGGACAGAAAGAGCAACTGGTGAATCTGGGCCGATCAACGGATATATATGCTGTCCCAGATCCTACTTAAACTTATTTTTCACTTTTGTATCCTAGAATTGAGAGAAACAAAGAGGGAAAGTCAACAACCGAAATCGGCTTCAATTTGATCATGACGCGGCTCATACTTCTAACCAGGGATTGACTAGTAGGACACGATCACCCACAGTGTAGAAACAGTGGCTTCCAGCATGGGGAGGGGGACAAAGAGTCTCGAAGGGCTCGGTTATCTAGACAGCCGCTTTAGTTTTAAGTGTCATATAACGGTCGCAATGCCCATTCTTGTCATTTCTTGTTACCGGAGCCGTCTTTCGTGGTGCCGCAGTCGGCTATTGTGTCTAGACCTGGGTCTCGGCTCATCGCCCCCACTTCCCGTATCTTTATTGGCGGCTGTGCCAATGTAGCCTACCTAACAAAATCTTCATGCAGCGCATCGCTAGGGCCCATCGCATCCCATAGCCCACCTCAGCGGCTCAAACCCGCCCGCGACTACCACGGCGAGTACATGATATTTTCTCTAGTTTATGCTGATGATTTCTTCAAAAAGTCTAAAGAAGTTGGCCAAAGGCCATGATGATAGTCGGGACATGCCAATTTGGGTTTAAGTCAGGCCGCAAAGAAATAGTTGGTTCAATGAGAAATTGGCTGTCTGATCGCAATAGATTCGGCCCAGAGACTCCTAACCCAACTTTTTGTCAGCTACGGGAGACGGCTAGCGCAAGGTGATGGGATTATTGAATGGCAAGATCTGCTGGCATTGTGCTGGTAGGAGCAAGATCTGCCGTCCTTTAGCGGATGGCTTCAGCTACCCTGCACGGTGTAAGTTCGCCTTACTTGTCAACCTCACGAACGCCTAGTCCATGCAAAATAGATATTTATTTGCGCTAAAATAAACTGTGATTATCGTCTCAGAGGTGAATGATTGTTGACAAGAGTTAGTGATTGACATACTAATAAATGTATAATGCGAACCAAGGGTCTATCATTGGATTCTTAGCCGTCGGGTATCGATCAATTATCACTCATTCTTTAACCAGGAGATTTTAATCACATTTCAATGTTCATATACATAGATACAACACAACTGAAATATTGTGTGGCCTTCCATGAGTGGGGGCCGGCTTTCTTTACTTTATGAGAAATGCCTACTTCCGCACATCCCCAGATGGAATAGGTACAAACCGAATCACTTGTGACGCGACTGGTATGTGCAAACTTGCCAGGACTTGACTCACATTCTTCAATGCTCTAAGTTCACTATTCAATAGTAGTATTGTAAGGAACCCTTCGACCTCCGACCATGGTTACCAGATTATGATTGGAGGAGGTTGACGCGTCGGCACCACGCCAGAGCCGGAGATCCTCAGCCAAGGTGATGCCAAGGAAGTTGTCGATCAAGGGTATATTCGTCCGAAGTAACTGCTTCTGTAGAAATATACCCTCGCAAGGATCCATTACTATCTATCTGGTGCCGATTTTCGACATTTGACGCCAAGATGGGGAAAATGACGGGGAAACAGGTCAACATGTTTGCGCCCCTTACATGCCATTGAATTAAGACAAGTCTCCCCTTTGGCCTTGGCTGCACTTACACTAAGTGTTATTTTGAGGTCGCTTAGCAGCCACTGACGAGTATAACAAAATCTGGAATGCACTTGTCTGGACGATCAGGGGCAGCCAGCATCTCTTAGATGTCGATGATCCATTGTTGCCTCCCATATTGCTGCGTAAGCTTTAATCGAAGACGGCTTACAATTCTTTTCATACTATCGTTCTAGACCAAACTGCCAGTAAAATCCCTCAAATCTTCCAAAAGCGACAGCTTGTGTTTCGCATTATCAACAAAGAGAGTAAGAGCGGAATTGGCCGAGACCAAGGGGACTTGTCGCCGCACAAGCTAAGACACTGTGTCTGATAGTTAAATTAGGCTGATGTAGTGGCTTGCGTATCAAAGAATGGTCAATGGTCTCGAATTTGAGCATGAACGCGGCAAATTCTCCGGCCTTACCTAAGAACCTGTCAACCAGAAAATGTGGGAAAGTGGTATATATGCAAGATGCAATGACCAGGGTTTGTACCTTAATTTCGATACACCTCCAACTCATCTCTGGTTTACCCTCCCTTCGTGTATTGTGTGTCTTTCCAATTACTTTCTAGATACTGTTCACGTTTGCATCCAGCACCGATTTTTATTTTTATATTATTTTGTTCTTCTTTTCACTTTCAGATCCTGGTGACTGAATATTATTACACCATGCATTTCTCCCTTACTGCGACTACCTCGGTATTTCTTCTTGCTACGAATGTCGCAAGCCAAAACTGGCTTCTACCTTTAGTCACCAGTACTAAAACCGAAGGCAATGCCCCGACGACACTCATCACGTCAACTGCCACTAAAACCACCACCATAAGGCTGTTTAACTACACTATATCTTCAAACACCACCTCCACTCTGAACTCTACTCTTACCTCTAGTACCTTATTTACTAGCACCACTTCTACACCTGCAGCATCTACTTCATCTAATCCCAACCCCGGATTAACTGCTGATCAACAGAAGGCTCTGGATCTTCACAACGAAGCTCGAAAGCTAGTTGGAGTTCCTCCTTTGAAATGGGATGCCGATCTAGCCGTTTCTGCTCAGGCGTACGCAATCAAGCTGACCGCAGTTGGTAAACTGGAACACGATACGAACCGTGGAGAGCAGGGCGAGAACCTTTACTACCAGTGGGGCAGTCCCAACCCTCCTTACGAATCTGCTACCACTTGGTGGCTCAACGAAAAGCCGTACTACACCAATCAACCAATTCCCCAGGATAGTTCTAATGGAAAGGTATTTGCGGATTATGGACATTACAGTAAGTTGATTTCCTAACGTGGAACATTGGTCTTCTCATGAATGGTATTTGACACATGAGTAAAGCCCAGGCTGTCTGGAGATCCACTGAAAAAGTCGGATTGGCCATCGCAAATGCTCTTGACGGCAAAACATATGTCGTGGCTCGCTACTTTCCATCTGGCAATGTGTAAGGCATCCCTAACCTGACGCTCGAGAGTCAACACACGTTAACTGATTTCATCCAGGATGGGCCAGACGCCTTACTAAAGGAGGACGAAGTATAATTACTGTGATAAATGTTTCACAGCGACTGGATGCTTTCGAAACGATGTGAAGGACAACATGGGAAACGGTTCATTTTTTATGTACAAAACTGGCGGCATGTTGTTTGGTAACCATACTCTGTTTTTTGTTTTTATTTCCTTTATAGCATAGATAGACTAAAATGTTTGATTCCTTAAGACCATCCCTATTAATGACGCTTTGTACAAGGAACTAAGGAAACAATATCACCCTAATGACACACGCCCAGGTGTGTGATTACTTACCAAGATGTCTGTTTTTAAAAGCTCTCATGGCTTGCAGTACAGCCATAATGCTCTGCAAGTCTGATTAATTCTGTCTCAAGAGCCATCAGACCAGGCTTCCTCTGCCCGTTGAACAAACGCTAACAACTAGTTATCATGCACTCGGCCTTCCAAAAAGTTATTTGCGACTGCTTAAATGTCTACATCATAAGTACGTTCAAGGCTAGGAAACAATGCATGGCATTACGCTTAGGTAGGTAGTGTGGTATGTCCTAGAAAGCTATTTAACATACTCGCAAAATTTGGATGGCGGTTGGAGTATTAGCGAGAGTCTCTTTATTACTAAAAGCCTCGATATTGTTACATCGGGATGTGGAATTGATATTATCGATGTGCGGCACGAAGCCATAATTTTGTCCACACATAGTCTTACAAAGCAAAATCCCCCCCTAAACTCCATATGTGAACTCCCGATACTTCTTCTGATAATAAAATGTTGCCAACGCGCCGGTGACTGTCAAAGCCAATGGTATGGGCGCCCTTCCTCCAGTCCTGATAGCTCTGGAGGCGCCAGCGCCGAGCAGCACAATGCTGTTTCCTAGAGCGAGCTCTGCACCATAGTCTTTGTTCTCCTTGAGCAGGTAGCCTAAATCGGTGTCAATTAAAGCCGCAAAATTATTCAAAGTTCGCAGATGTTACTTGCCTGAGTATGCATAAGCAGCTCCAAGTCCAAGGCCCGCGATGAGTGATGGTTTGGACTGCGTCTTTAGGAATCCTGCGGTGCCGCCAACAGCCACTAAACACAGGTCAGCAGGTTATGTAATGGATGGTTGAATACACATTTCCGTCACTTACAGAGGCCGGCTAAAGTGAACGACGGATGGTGAGCCATTGCGATGGGCAGTTTGATGTTTTTGATGAGTGAAATAGATGTGATTGACAGAGTTTAAAGTTCCAACCCGGTTATCCCGAACTTGGTGCGGGACTGATTAGTAAGATGGCTTTTAGGGGGGCTTGGCGCAATCTCGCTTAGTGCTTGAATTACTCATCCTACGGAAGACGGAATACTTCGGACGCTTCTCTAGCTCAGGTGTCGTAATAAACAGTCGACTTCCTATATATATTTATCGTATCAAACAAAGGTAGCCAATGATTTTGCGGCCCGAGTGATAATAAACCAAGATCTCCCTTATGGGCATCAACTGTTCTTACTAAGCTTAAGTAAATGGAATTTTCATCCTGTTTTAGTAACTATAGAGGGCGTACACACAGCTATTATTATCAGATACGTTTGGATTCAGTCACTGCTCCAGACTGCTTGTACGCCCAGACAAATGCGTTTGAATTATTGACCTTCTTGGAATACTGACCACTCAGAAACGCTTTTACATAAAGAAAATAACTATAAAAAAAGATTGAGATTGACATGCGTGAGCCTCGGGTCGATTTTCAATCTAATTGCTGTCCTCGAATTATACTAAAGAAGGTTGTATTTTGAAAACTATTATAGAACACAGAGCTTGGATATGGTGCAATATTAGCATATCTGTCTGAGGGATTACTAAGGTCATTAGCTAGGATTCTTTGGGCGGAGCAGTAAGCAGCGGAAACTGTTATTTCTGCCAATTGACCGGAATGGACTACCACTTATGACCTACTGACAAGGCAGTCAATATCTCGCATCCGACACTATGGAAAGAGTCCTATAACAGAACTTTATCTGACATAAAGTATCCAGCTACGCGTTTCTATATACACTGGGTAGCCACTCTTAAAAACGGTTTACCATGTTTTCAGATAGTGACCTTACGGCCCTGTATAATCAAAACTTTATTGTCGAATCACGTAGACTATAAACGCACGCCGTTATACCAAGCTTATTAGTTTTTAATCTCATTGTTTCTACGAACCAGTGTGAGAAGTGAAGCGCGGCTTTTGTTCTGGCTCCACCTGGTCACACTGCGGAATATCTACGGGTGATCTATGGGCGGCATGGGCGTCGGGTGGTAACAAGAACTGTTTTTGAGGTTAACTGATTTGCGTCAAATATCATTCGGAACAAGTTAAACCCCAAGCGCCAAACATAGCAACGTTTGCCAGTTCCCATATACATCAGGTTTTCTGTTTGAGAGAAGCTACGATGAAGTGCAGACAGGAGCGGCCAAAGTGGCTCAGGCCCAGCCCCCGGCAAGTAAGCCGTGCCAATTGCCCCAGGAAATGGAGGTGTGTGAACCAGCATCTGCAATTGAGGGTCGAGACTTATTAGACTGATTATCTGCTCATGATATTGATAAGTGGTGGGGAGCATGGCATCGAACGTACTTGTATTAAGGAAATACTTTAGTTTAAAATTGTGTGCGGCAAGTGTTGAGTTGAGATGTTGTAAGCATGGCTTTTGGCCTAAATATATATCGCTGTAGTTAAAGCTCTTGTCTCGTTCACTGCTTTTCTCTTTAAGGTTGGAAGAAGTGGCAGAACGCCAAGTCTTCTCGTTAGAAAGGGGCAAAGTTCGTTGAAAGTTCGAATCTGTTACGTTAAAGGCACCTTATTAGGTGTTAAAAGAGCTAGAGACCGGACTCACAGTCGGCGTAACCTAAGTTCAAGAAGGTTACCAGTTCAAGAATAAGAGCGTACCAATGGGCAAGGGAGCTGTCATTGTCTTTTTCATCCTCGTAATAACTAATTGAAGATTAATGAAGACAAAACCCTCTGAAGTTGATATTAATCCTTAACTAGAGACTTTCCCAGCAATGTTGACCTGCGCAAAGTAAACGCACACGTGGTAGCGTCGAGAGTGTGTTTCATGTCCGACTGATCACAATGCCATGAATATAAATATGAGTATGTTCTGATCTAGATGCAGTATAAAACGAAATTCTTATCTAGATTAATGTAAATCCTTCTCAGGGGTTGATCATGAGTATGCTATGACAGTTTATTTGTTTGAAATGGGATATAGCCCTTCCATACCGATTTGCTGATAATAACCCTAATTTATAAGACATACATATGAATCGTTCGTGTTGGCTCATGTATAATCTCGGAACATCTATAGGGCTACATGATTGCTCTCGCGGCCACCAGTCTTTAAAATGTTCATTATCAGTCTAGAGCGGCACTGCCTTATGGCGTTAACCGTCTGACTACCTAAATATACACATCCGTAGTCTAGTATCGGTATATCTCAACCCTTTCAAAGCAACCTACCGGGTATTTAAGAAGCAGGATAAATATGTTTCCGCTCAGCCGACCTTGTGTAGCACGTTTAGTACGTGTAAATGATACATCGGCATCGGTCATCAGTCTTGGCCAGCTATCCCATCGAAGGCTAAACGCCTACAGATACAAAATATCTAATTTTACAACAGCTATATCTTTTTCAATATGTTTAAACACCTCTAATTCGTAGTTATTAAACTGTGTCGGCTGCCATTACTACTAGTCCCTCCTTTAAAAGAAGTAAATAATAAGATGAGTATTAGATTCCTCTACAAGTTATCCAAAGTATTAACCAGGCCACGAAAGGTTAACTTCTATTTAAGGCTTATAGTTATAGCTACTCAATATTTGTAGGTAGCAGGCCTCGCCGGCCCGTCACGTGGGCTGACGGCCGCCACCACTGGTCTTAGCCAGCCTCCACAGCCCTCTAGCCAGTTAGTTAGTTCTTCAACCAACAACACCACTTTTCCCATTCTGAGCGTTCTATGCTGGTTTCGCCTATAGGTTATATGTTACGACCCGTTAGATACACCTAACAGGACCCACTCGGTTGGGCGGTTATGACAGGACTTTGTATGCAGGGCCACGGGAACAAAAGGTAACCTCTCGGAACGGAAGAACTATAGAACGGAACAAGTCACGTGATGAATCATTCTAGGTCAGAATGATCCAAGAAGAGTTGGGGGCCAACGGATCATGTTCGATCAATATGATCTCCAACGACTACAGACAATACGTGTAGATAGACTCCTATATAGACCAGGACTTGAGTACCTGCTCAAGCCCTCTAGATAGTTCTTCAGCAATCAACTTGTGATTCATCCTCGAATGACTTTCAGCTTACCTCTCAGTATTGTGAATACTAAGAACCTCGTTACCATAGTGTAAGACTGATTACCTTACCCTAACCCTACGATCTACCAGAACGACCTCTACGAACCAGTGTTAGTCTCTTACTGCACCTTCTGTTAGCAGAACCCTACTGTCAGATAGCTGGCCGTAACACTTTGATTGCTCCTGTTCAGTAAGTTGCCCTTTGAGACTAACGAACAGTATAAGACAAGATGTCTTCGCACGGAACTACCGAAAACCCTACTCCTGGAACCTCGTCCACGTCCGAGAGACGTATTCCCCAGAATCTGGCCCAAGAGATTCAAGACCAGGAAATGAAGGAGGAATCCGATAGCGATGACGACAATGAAGAACTTAAGCGGCAACTTGAGCGGAACAACAACGAGCTCAGGGAAATGAAAAACCTGTTCAACCAGAACGTCAAAGCCCTCAAGGAGCTACAGGAACAAGCCCGCCGCACCAAAGAACTAGAGAAGGAAGTCACAACACTTCGAGCTGCCGCGAACGTCATATCAGCTCCTGTCGAAGGAAGAGAACGCCTTAAGCTCAACACCCCTACCACCTTCGACGGAACCCCTGGACAGCTCAAAGGATACTTGGTACAGATACGGACCTACCAAGCCTTCCACATCAACACGTTCCAGAACGATACCGAACGTGTCGTCCACGCCGCCACCTTCTTGAGAGGGAAGGCCCTCGCTTGGTTCGAACCCCTCCAACAAGAATGGCTGGACACCCCTATCGAGAGATACAGTCAAGAAGTGAAGGACATCTTTTTCAGCTTCAGTGGATATGTTAAAGCCCTTCAATCTCTCTTCTTAGACCCCGATGAGAAAAGACAAGCAGAAAGAGAACTAGCAAGCCTACGACAAAACAAATCAGCTACAATGTACGCCGCAGAATTTCGACGACTCGCAGCCAGACTCGACATGACCGACGAAAGCAAAGTCTTCGCTTTCTACCAGGGTCTCAAGGACGACGTCAAGGACGAAATGGCCAAAGTGGACACGCCACCTAGCTTCCTTGATTATGTCGAATACGCTATTAAGATTGACAACCGACTGTTTGAACGACGCAAGGAAAAAGGAGAAAAACGTCAAACAGCTAACTCAGGAAAGAAATACCAATGGCAACCCCAACACAAGTTCAACAAAAACCAGAACAACAGGAACAACAATCAGCAGAGCACCGCACATGGACAACACAGCGGACCCATGGACCTGAGCGTCGCGCAAAAAGACAAACCCAGACGCAGAGAATTCAAATGCTACAACTGCGACAAGCCAGGATACATGGCTAGACACTGCATACAGCCTAAGAAACTTACGGCAACCCCTAAGCAAGCCAACGCTGCAACCAAAATCCCTAGCTACGAAGAAAAGGGATGGACAGCCTGCTATGACAATGATTGCACTACGCATAGGCATGCAAAAGAGAATAGTGGATGGTACCCTTAAAACCTAGCAGGACGATCGGGATACGACACTACCAACATACCTAAGGCCATTGCTGTGATAGACCGATACACCGGTGGACCGGATTACATTAAGCAGCGACAGGAGCTACTCGACGACTGGGAACAAGCAAAGAAGGCCGCGGAACTCAACAACGCCTTCCAAGATGGTAGCATTGTGTACCAACCGGGACTCTTATGGGACATCCTACGCCTCGCCAACTATCGACAGACGAATGAAGTAAACACCCCGGAAAGTTTCTTAGAAGAAGAAGCTAGGAAACTCGAAGAAGAAAACGAGACAGCTATCAAACAGATACAAGACGCCATCAACTACACGATGCAAATTCGAAACAACAGCGAAGTTGGAGACACCCTCCAATACATGCGGAAAACCCGAGACTGCCGCATCGCACTACGCGGAAACACCCGAGGACAGTATCAACTTAAGTATAAAGCAACCTAATTTGTCTACTAACCCCAAAACGATAGAAAGACGGAACGAACCCTCGCGGTAGCCAGCAAATACGCTTGCAAAGCCACCGAGCAATTGGATGAAATGCTGAGACAACAACAATTTAGGGACGCTAGCACCCAGACCCGAGTATACCAAGCAAAGGACAACCTAAGCCAACGATGGAGCTCACCATATACCACGGTAGCCAGCGACTCGACCTTTGAATTGCTACAAAGAACCCGCGCTACTCCTTAACCTATCTCGGAATAGGCTGAAGACGTCGTAGACGGACCACCCTCGGCGGAAGTACGTCCACAAGGAACGTCGATAGACGATACCGACCTGGAAGACGCAGAAGAAGAACACCATCTCGACAGAATGGAAAAAATTAAGGAAGTACTAGAATATAAATATATCGACCCCTAAGACGACTGCCAACAGATCGCCTTCCATGTAGAAGAATATCATAACAAAATCCCTATAACAATCATACAAACCCGGGATGAAGAAATATTCTTGGAAGACGATCCCAGGATTACGACACAGCACAGAGAACACAAGGAGATAGCATGGATCTACTGCATCTTCGATCACTATGCCTACCATCTCTCAAAGAAAGCAGAAAACGAACTATACCCTAAAAGAAAAGAAGAACTGCGAATCCGCAGAGCCTATGAGGAATAAGAACTCTTATATTGGGAAGTACGGGGAGAACCCGGAGAATGGAAAACTAATAACGATGGAATAGCATTCCTACGACCCAGCATCGAATACCCTCAGAAGTGTGTAAACCACTTCACGGGAGTCTGGTGGAATTGCAGGGAAGACCTATGCAAACTCCACTACATTCCAAAAAGCGAAAGTTAGAAATTCCGACAACAAGAACTAGACAAGCAAGGACAGGACGGCGAGACGCCCAGCCCACCTCGTCTAGGAATCAGAGAAAGTAACCTCGGCAAAGACCGAAAGAAGGGCGAGAAGGCCCTCTACTCAAAAAACTAGGAGAGCCGCCTTGTCCGGGACACATGGCAAGCTCCCCCAGCAAGTCCCTATATACTACATTCGACGACGACGCACAAATGAAGATCACAGTAAACCTGGGCGGATACACCACACAGGTCCTGATAGACTCAGGAGCCCAAGGAAACTTTATCGCACCCCGAATAGTGCAACAGCGAGAAATACCATGGAATCAGAAGCAAAACCCTTACCGACTAAGGAATGTGGAAGGGAAAGAAGTCGAGTATGGCGGAGGCAGCATTGATCAGGAGACAGCGCAACTCCCTTTGCTCTACCATGGCCATCAGGAGCTTATCAGCCTCGACATCACGGAGATAGGAAACCACGACGTTATCCTCGGAATTCCATGGCTACGAAGACATAACCCACAAATCGATTGGGTTACCGGCCGAATAAAATTCAATCCAGCCTCTGAGAAGCACTCGACGAAGGCCTCATGCGGATTACTAGCAGCAACCAGAGCAAGACCACGCCTGATGCTAAGGATAAAAGACATTGGCACTAGGACGCTAGCAGCCACGACGATTGACAAAGTCACGGAAGATCCAATGTCAAAGATACCTGTTGAATACAGGGTCTACAGCAAACTCTTTGCACCAGAACTCGAGACCGGATTACCGGAACACAGCAAGTGGGATCACAAGATCGAAATTAAGGAAGGACACGAACCCACCTTTAACAAAATATACCTACTCAACCAAGAAGAAATGAAAGCCTTAGACGAATGGCTTGACGAAAATCTTGCGAAAGGATTCATCAGACCTTCGAAATCACCCGCAGGATACCCCGTACTATTCGTACCAAAGAAGAACGGGAAGAAAAGACTTTGTGTCGATTATCGACGACTCAACGATATTACGATCAAAGACTGTTACCCACTGCCCCTCATATCGGAACTAAGAGACCTACTCTACGAGGCCTAATGGTTCACAGCCTTGGACCTTAAAGGAGCCTACAACCTTATCCGAATTGCAGAAGGAGATGAGTGGAAAACAGCCTTCCGAACGAGAAGAGGACAGTTTGAAACGTTAGTCATGCCATTTGGACTCACCAACGCACCGGCTACATTCCAAACTATGATCAACCAAGTACTACGGGAATATCTGGACAAGTCTGTTGTTGTGTACCTCGACGACATCCTTATATTCTCCAAAACGTTGGAAGAACACAAGAAGCATATCCACGAGATTCTCAAAGCACTCGAACAAGCGAAGCTACTTGTGGAACCAGAGAAGAGTCTGTTTCACAAACAGGAAGTAGAATTTTTAGGGTTCATAATCACGCCAGGCGTAATCAAGATGTCCCCTAACAAAATCAAGGCTGTGCAAGAATGGCCTATACCAGAGAACCCGAAGGACATACTATCCTTCTTAGGATTTGTCAACTTCTACCGAAAATTCCTCAAAGACTACTCCAAAACGATATTGCCTCTTACCGAGCTCACTAAGAAAAATACACCTTGGGAATGGACAGACAAACAACAGAAAGCGTTCCAAGAAGTCAAGGACAAGGTTACATCGGAACCCGTCATCCAGATTCCGAACCCTGAGAAGCCCTTCGAGCTCGAAACGGATGCTTCGAACGAAGCTGAAGGAGCGTAGCTAGGCCAAAGGGACGAGAACGGAGTCCTATACCCCTGTGGATTCTTTTCAAGGAAGTTCCAAGGACCTGAACTGAATTACTAGATCCATGATAAGGAACTTATGGCAATTATCGACGCATTCAAAGAATGGAGACCCTAACTATCAGGAACAAAGTACGAAGTAAAAGTGTACACGGATCACAAGAATCTGGCACACTTCACCACTTCGAAAGAGCTTAACAAACGACAAATCAGATGGTCAGAATTCCTCTCAGAATTCAACTTCAGAATCATCTACAGGAAAGGATCAGAAAACGGCAGAGCAGACGCGCTCAGCCGAAGACCCGATTACAAGGACGAAGTCCCAGAAGAAACTCAGGTTATCCTCAAAAAAGACAATGGCGACCTCGTACCCGCCGCGAAACTCTTAATGATCGGCGACCGTGTCAAGACCAGCACGACTGGAAGAATGACACACGACCAGATCAGGGAGATACACAGCGCACCCGCTCACGGTCACCAAGGAGTTACGAAAACCTAGAAACGAATTAGACAACACCACGACAAGCAAGTAACAAGAAAAGACGTCGCTAACGCAATCAAGGATTGCGAAGTCTACGCAAAAAGTAAGCCCAGCAGACACAAACCATATAGAGAATTACAACCATTGCCAGCACTACCAGCACCCTGGCACTCAATCTCTCTAGACTTTATCGTCAAACTACTAAAATCGAGAGAACTACTTACTAAAGTACAGTACGACAGTATACTAGTGGTTGTAGATAGATTCACGAAGTACGCGTATTTCATACTATACTTGGAATCAAGCACGGCAGAAGACTTAGCATATACCTTTCTCAGGATCATTGTCAGCCAACACGGCCTGCCCCAGGAAATAGTATCAGACAGAGGATCAGTCTTTACGTCCAAGTTTTGGAGATCCCTGATCTCGCAGCTCGGAGCAAAGCACAGCCTCAGCACTGCCTTCCACCCGCAGTCCGACGGACAAACGGAAAGAATCAACCAGATCCTGGAAACGTACCTAAGGAGTTATGTGAACTACGACCAGGACAACTGGGTCAAGTTGTTACTAACCGCACAGTTCGCATATAACAGTTTAATAGGAGAAAGCACGCGAGAATCACCTTTCTTCCTTAACTATGGATTTAACCCTACCGCTTATGGAGAACCCCGAACCGGCTTTGCCGCGATAAAAGCAGTAGCAGACATTAAGAAACTTAAGGAAATCCAACAAAAACTACCCTAAGAACTCGAATTCGTACGGCAAAGAATGAAGAAACACGCCGACCGACATAGGGTGAGAGGCCTACCCCTAAAAGAGGGAGGTAGCGCCTACCTTATACGGCGAAACATCAAAACGAAACGACCTAGCGACAAACTCGACTTTAAAAAACTAGGACCTTTCGAAATCACGAAGAAAATTTCCGAAGTTAACTACGAGTTGAAACTACTGGAAACAATGAAATGTCACCTAGTCTTTCACGTCTTATTATTAGAACCAGCACCGGACGGTATATACACCGAAGACTGCATTATTATGGAAACAGATGACACCGAATACGAAGTAGAACGCATTCTAGACCACCGGAGGAATGACGAAATAACAGAATACTTTATTAAGTGGAAAAACTATGGACACGAAGACGATTCGTGGGAACCAGCTAAGAACCTGGAACACGCTCAGGAAGAACTCTAACAATACTGGCACCAGAGGACGTCTCTGGACCCCAGTCGTCCAAACCGACGCCAGACCAATCCACGACGCTAATAGCACCCAGGGAATGAAGTGCACCCATAGTTTCCGAGCTAGCACTCTGCAAACCAAGAACCTCGGAACGATACTTATTCTCAACCTCCTCCACACGCCGCAAACCAGATCGAATGAGATCAGTCGCCTCACGATTGATGTCCTTGCGACGCCTTCGTAAACGACGAATCTTCGCCATAAGAGCTAACTGCTCTTCTTCAGCTTTCTCAAGCTCATCATCAATTTTTATTTTCTGTTGCCGAACCCGAATGAGGGAAGCCGCGGAAGGACCGTGAATGTCGCAAGAATGCTTATCGGCAACGCAACGCGAACAACGAGAAGAATTAACTTCGGAAACGACGCAGTCGACACCGGCAGCCGCGCAACCGGAACAAGGGACAGGCATGATGAACCCGAACAAATCGACAAGCTGGCTAAGTTCCTTATAAGCCACAGGGTTCTTTGATTTGGATTTTTGAACGCGACCTGACATGATGTCAGCATCATGAATAAACAAGGAAGCACGATTGACGACTCCCCAACCTGGGAAGCCACGACCTACTTATGTTGGCCTTGAGGACAAGACCATCGAGGGGAGACCTGATGTTACGACCCGTTAGATACACTTAACAGGACCCACTCGGTTGGGCGGTTATGACAGGACTTTGTATGCAGGGCCACGGGAACAAAAGGTAACCTCTCGGAACGGAAGAACTATAGAACGGAACAAGTCACGTGATGAATCATTCTAGGTCAGAATGATCCAAGAAGAGTTGGGGGCCAACGGATCATGTTCGATCAATATGATCTCCAACGACTACAGACAATACGTGTAGATAGACTCCTATATAGACCAGGACTTGAGTACCTGCTCAAGCCCTCTAGATAGTTCTTCAGCAATCAACTTGTGATTCATCCTCGAATGACTTTCAGCTTACCTCTCAGTATTGTGAATACTAAGAACCTCGTTACCATAGTGTAAGACTGATCACCTTACCCTAACCCTACGATCTACCAGAACGACCTCTACGAACCAGTGTTAGTCTCTTACTGCACCTTCTGTTAGCAGAACCCTACTGTCAGATAGCTGGCCGTAACAGGCGTGTACCTGTAGCCAATCAGCCCTTATGGGATACTCTGATACCAGCGAACAAGCATCCAAAGTGCAACGTCTTCCTTAGCTCATACCATGTATCATTGTCCTAGCACTTAATATCTTGAGGCACAGCCAAGCTTCCGTCTACGCTCAAAGTATATACACTCATTGGAAGGATCTATGATCAATGTTGGAATAGCCGGAACTCCGGGTTGAAGTACTTCCGTCGCCGGCAGTCCACGGGCAGACTGGCAGACGGCTATAAGTTCAACAGCCACCTCCATCAGCACTTCTACTAGAACTTATTCCATAGACATCAGAGACAAGAGAAAGAAACCAGTTTCTCTCTTAAAGTATCCCACTTTACGGGTGCCCTGTGATACCAACACTAAATCTTCTACCTGTCCTATCCGCAATAATAAGTTACCGCCCCTGACAGGCAAAGCCTCAATTCGAAAATCATAAGTTACGTTTGAGAATGAAATGGGACATGAGTTATTACTGCCGTACATTCTTTCCGTAGAGAAATATTAACGGGCGGAAGCCGTATCGTGCCAAAGGAAAGAATAAGGAAGGTTGTAGATCAGCCTCCTCCTCGATACTCCTGCATTTGTGCAAATGAGAATGAGTGTAAGTCATATGCGGAAAAGAATAAAATGAAAACTGAGGTTATTACTCAATGTATTAATGGAGATCACACAATATTTTGTGTTCTTCGTCGTTAAGTTACTGATTATAAGCTCAGTTGAGAAAAACCGTGTTTGCCAGTGGTGAGCAAATCCACAAACCAGGCAAAAAGCTTAATCAAGCACTTAACACCCTAATAACGCCCACAGGTACCGGCATCCGGCACAGAAGAAAGTGATTATTGCTATCTATGCTTTCAGAAAGATGCAATACATCTAGACTCTGTATAGCCGTCCCTCTAACCAGGAAAGTTATCTATTGTCGCAAGTTCCTGATTTGTTGACCGTTCGCCTACTAATTCCCAGTGACTTTGATATTCACAGGCGAGATGAAAGGTACTATCCCTTTTAGGAATTGTCGTTATCTTTCTATCACTCAAAAGGTGTGTTATCAACGCCGTCGTATTCTCATCCATGCAGGCAACCAAATAATCAGGAGCGGTAAGCCCCAAGTTATCTTCAAACTTGACATCCTGGTCTCTGAGTAGATTGTTGTCGATGAGCCACTCCAAGATTGATAGTTGCCCATTGGCTACCATTATCATGAGTCCTGTTACGCCATGACATCCTTCTATGAACGTAGACCAGTTGGCACCTTGAAGTATTAAGAGCTTAGCAACATCGATGTGTCCGTGGGCGAGTGCCAAGTGAAGAGGAGTAGCATCAGGACAGTCTTCAGCTTCTCTGAGTCCATGTCTTTGTTGGAGTACCTGCAAGTGTCTCGAAGGGCAAATACATGCGTATGTTGCTGTGACTTCGATACCAAGAATACCGCGCGTGCGGTAATCCTCAAGTAGCCAATCTACACAGGCGAAGTTACCAGATGCAGCGGCGACGTGCAGTGCAGTTGTACGTCCGTGCGATACATTGCCCTCGACAACGCTTATCCAAGGCCAGTGTGACTCGCAGGTGTTGCCAGGTATATGGAATGTCGCCCACAAATGCATAGGCCGCAAGGCAAGAACTCTCTGGAGGACGGGCAGACCGTAGGCGGCGTCAACGGCGGCAGCCCAGAGAACGATAGGGCTTGTGTATGGTTCGACACCATAATCGCGTATGAATTCCTCCACATCATAGTTTGTGTGGATGTTGGTAGTACTTTGTACTTCTTCGTCATCCATCGTAAGCGCTCTATTGTATAGTAGTGCTATCGATGCATTGTGAAGGTCCCAACAAGTACGTGAAACTGCGTTCAGAGTCGGAATGTGGTATATATTGTCGATTATTTCGAGAACGATTTCAAAAGGAAGACCTGGTATGGGCGACATCTCCAATTATGTGTGCAGGAGAACTAATCCAGTAATACGTCAACAGAGTGGATATGACGAGGCTTGGTTGCTTGACTCTTCACGCAAGACCTTGAAGCGATGAAATTCACTTAGATCATATTAGCAAGAAATCTTTTGGGGGCCAGGATAACAGAAAAAGAGTTTTCTATACCCCAACCACTGAAATTGGCTTACGTATTAAAGAAATGTATCTAACATGCAGGTTTAACCGTTATGGCTGGGTGAGGCCTGTGGTGGTTTTAATGAAACAATCCGCGATGAAGCGCTAGGAGCCTCCGGCAAAGGGGTGATATCAGCCGTTGGCGACGGTGCGCACCGAACGTGAAAGGCGTAAGTGGTATAAACTCTTTGCGGCTAAGCTCTTCATAGGAACTCGCCTTCCGATGCCAGATCGGACTATAGACCTGGCGGGGCACGGTGAGTTTCGGGTTCCAACCTTCCTTTAACTAGTTAGACCAGTTCTTTGTCTTGCTTCGCAAGGCTGCTCTAGCTTAGACTAGGTGCAGCTTTAACATGCTTTGATGAGTCGGAAACGTATGGCGTATAGATATTAATCTAGTAATTAGACGGTTTTCTTAGTCAAGTGGCCTGGAAGATTTTGTGACGGACATGGAGAACTGGCGATGCGTAATTTGACACATGACGTGCTTCTCAGGATCCCCAAGTGAGTGAGCATTAACGGCGCCTTGCCGCTTTTGGAAAGTCTGACACCGGAGTAATTCAAGGCCCCTCCGCCGTAGCACCAGATGATGATGTAATCGGGGATAAGCAACGCCGATCTAAGACCATGTGCGGTGGCTTCATGATTTCCTTTTTGTTATAACATGTTTCAGGACCTTACCTGTAATTCTACCCTGGAAAGCGCAACGATGAAAACATTTTGGATTCGCAGCTTTTCTGGAATTAAACTAATTTACAGCAACTCCCACCATCCCACGTCCTGTAGAGAATAGGACTACATAAACGAGAGTAATCTTTATAGCTTGTTAAGTACCGTGAATACTAATCGCCTCACTATGAAACCGCCGCATCTTTAGTCTGTTACCCCTGATTCTCGAATTTTGCCTTAAAACCACAAGTAAACTTTACTCAGCCAACCAGCCAAGACTCAACATAGCAACAGACCAGCACTAACCAAGCAGAATTAGAAATAGTAGGCAATTGAAACCATTTAGTACTACTAAAAGGTTTGCTTTCATACGGGAACACAGCTAGGAAAGAGTATTGATGTCGGGGTATGCAGCTAGCCTAACGTCACGTCGTCACGTTAAACTGTTGAGTAGTATGTAGGAAGACTGAAATTTATGAAACAGCAAAGTGTGCTGTAGAAGGCTTCGAGGGTAGCGAAAAACGGGACATTTAGCCATCTTTTCTAGTCCAAATTAAAATTGAAGTCTGTTCAATTTCATTGGTCTTGAGGTGCCCAGAGAATCTAGCCAAAAGCAGTCCACCATTGCCAGATCCCGGAGAGCAGTGCAGTAGTCTCCCATAATTCACCCATGGCACCTGTGAGACCCGATCCCATGAAAGCGAAGGTGAACTCTTTTTTCGCGCTCAGGGTATGGGCAATCACAGCAACAACCTCTTTTCCATCACTTGCCAATCCCTTCTGACGACTAGCGTTTCCCCCACCTTCAATAACGTTAGATTCCTCCATCCTCACTAGCTTCCACCCGCTCGAATATTTAGATATGTCTTGAACTTCTTTTCCACTCGAATGTCGCCATTGAAATTTTTCTAAATGTCCATTAATTTCGACAATGAACTCCATCGTAGCACGATACATCCCAAGTGACCGCTTTAAGCGGTGCATCAGTATTTCCTTCTCCGTCTCTTGCAGACCCAGAACTGCAAAGAGAGTAATGACGACATGCTCTTTCGTTGTTGCACAAAACTGACTCTCTGCGCTTGCTAAAATTGGACTTCCGGAGTCTGTACCATTGTGAATGTGAAGCACTTCTATTGACTCATGGGGAATTCGCTGCGTGCAAAGACGGAATAGTTTTTGGTTTGGCGTCGAGCCGAGGTCGTATGACCGATCGGGAGTAGTAATGGCTAAGTATCCTTCAAGAATTGAAGGATACTTGATATTGCCAGAGTTGATTTCTGTCGAGGTGGGTGTTTCTTCGTCAAGGTGGGCCGGGGTTGGCGCATTGTTGGTTTGTAACCTTGATGGAAGAGCATGTGGAAATTCTTCATCATATGGATAAGGCGGCGGTGGATCGTCAGAAGTGTATTGAGAAGGCTCTCTATAAGTACTTATAGCAGCATGATCGCCAGTACTTGAGCTCATCATCTTCATGCAAGGTGCTGAAAATTTCCAAGGATTGAGCCGAGAAGTAAAGTTAAGTAGTTGGTTCGCGAAAAAATGGTGCAGAAGAGACACATGTGCAGAGACAGCGCAACCGGGATTTGGGTATTTTTATGATTAACTAATATTTATACAAGTAACCCTGTATCCAATGCATAGGAACTAGCACTTGGTATCGTTTCCTGTCAAGGTGCATAGCTAACTCTGCAGTCATTCGTCAACGGCTGAGCTTCGGGCGCAATGCCAAGTAGTTCTCCCCTGCCGTTGCATAATGGCTATACCAGTTTAGGCATTGTGAAAGTATTCCGACAAATTAGAATGGAGTTGAGCTCCACACGTGACGAGCTGAATGTTGGTTTGGGAGGCCTGTTAATACCTAGCTCGAGGTATTCCATCGACTGCAGCCAGGGAAGAGGTACGACCCAGTCCATTCAAAGGCCTAGATTTTTCCAGATGGTAATCGCATAAGACTCGCTTTCGGGTAGGAGTCGCAGCATCTGTGTCTGATTGGCTAACACCATGCAGGCTTTATACCTCTTACCAGGCCGCAGTCAGTGGAAAAGAAGGGAAAGGCGATCGTATTAGGCTAAAAAGCCTTTCTTTGCTAACTAGCAGTCATCACATGTTCAACAGAGCAATGCGACTGCCCTAAAAATGAAGGTTTCTCAATCAGTAAGCCTACATGTCTCTTCGTGGCTTTGGGGATTATTTGGTATTTGCTACGGGCTATGTCACGGTTGATGTGGCGTAAGCTGTGCCTACGCATTATCAATAATTATGTGCAGCCAAACTACAAGTGCACGACTTGTTGTTACGTAGCATTGTGGGCGTTTAGCTCAACGGACCAGCACCTCTGGTTTTTGGGTTGTGACTGCCACTGCATCCTTATAGGCTGGGTCTGGCTCTTCACAGTATTGGCCAAGTTCTGTAAAATAGGGGTTAGATACTACTTTCTTCCCATACATATAGTCAATCATCTGGTTGTTGACATTATAGAAACAGCCAAATATAATATCTGGCGAGCTTCTTGGGCCTGTCTATGAAGTTGAGAAACCCCTTTTACTAGTATCTTGACGCATACCTGATTAGTTCCTATTAGACTATAAACATATCGCGAGTGAGAAGTTGTTTAAAAATTCTATGAAGCCTGTAATGCGAAAGATATAGGTCTAGGAAAAACTTTGTGATCTTGTGTTATTCTAGTAGTTTTCCACCTTGTATTCGATATACCTGTTGTTTAACGGTATATAATAGAATAGTTGTAATCCGAGGAAAATATAAAGAGGTTTCATAGTTACTAGATACTTTGACGTGCTTTGCGATGTGTTAAGAAGTTAACAAGGACTATCCTATCGAGCGCGGAAAGACCCCATTTTCACTAAGGTAGGGTAATTCTACTCAAGGCTAGAGTATCTACTACTTTCGTTATTTATATACTTGAAATTAGTATATATCTATTAATAATAAGTTTAAGAAGTATAACGTACATGATAAGCGAGTGAGACAGACAAGCGAGTGAGACAGTAAACCAGACCTTCGCGACAATAATATCGAAATCTATAACAAGAAATCTTAGATTGATTAATACTACTCGGATTCCTGTTCTTCGGATGTTTCCTCAATAAATTGACATGTTCTCGCGTTGTGGCCTGTATTCCCGCATACGCCACACCGACGATGAGTCGTCTCAGACCTCACTTTGCGACCACTACTCCGTCGCGTTTCCTCTTGTAGTTGCGTGTCTGCCTCTCTTTGCGACTGTATATCCTCTCCAGTAGATATAGTAAGACTTCCTCCTTTCTGTAGACGTGTTTTCTTAGCCCTTCGACGCCGACTTAATATTGCATTCTCCTCTCGAAGGATTTGAACCTCTGACTCTAGTAATGCTACCCGATGCCCTAGTCCTTCTGTCCCTCTGGCTAGCTTACTCACAGCACTATAAATTGATGCTGGAGAGCTGCTTCGGTGGCGTGAGATTCGACTCTTAATAAAAGTAGACTGTGATCTTGCTTCGCTTGGGTTGCTCGGCGTCCTAGAGATCCAAGGGTCTGGTGTCTGAGGGACCCCCTCCTCAGGCGTTGGCGTTCGGAACTTTACATCCAGCTTTGAGAGAACACTTTCTGCATTCAAAGGGACAAGTCCAGCTCCTCGGAAACCTCCCTGGATATTTTTCCTCGTAAAAGACTGCTTAAAAGCTTCGTGAAATGCTGCAAAGAAATCTTCCTTCGAGATATGGGTTATGCCTCGCCGCATCTTATTCTCAATTTGCCGACCGTAGGCATTCTTTAACGGCTGAAAACAACCAACATCTAAGGGTTGAAGTAGATGAGACGAGTGAGCCGGCATGCACAGTGTAATAATGTTGTTTTCTTGACAAAAGAGCTCGAAGGCTGCGGAGTGGTGACTTTCATGACCATCAACAACGAGGAGGCGATATTTCCCAGACGTACGTGGTTTTGTATAAATGTCGAAGTGTCTGATCCAGTCAATACCTCTCTCGTTTGTTGTCCATCCATTTTCAGACGTTGCAATAGCCCAATCGCCCGGAAGAGAGGTTTCTGTATACCAGCTTGAGAGGTGATACTGGCCTGCAACGATGATGTATGGCGGGATGCTCTCCCCTTGGGAATTAATAGCCTGGATAACTGTAACCCATTCCCTATTGCCAGGCTGTGTCATCTTCGTATTTGAACGCCTTTCAGCACTTGTAACAACCATTCCAGAAGCAATAACGCCCATCATAAAGCCGGTCTCATCAAAGTTGTAGATATCAGCATCAGCAATACCATACTTCGCAATTGTATTCTTCACAAGCGAAAACCAGCCACGAATCACCTCTGGATCTTCGCATTGAGCTCTCTTATAGTCATACTTGCGAAAGAAACGCGTCCTAAGCTGTGGTTGTCGCTTGACGAAATTAGAAGCCCAGCGCTTCCCAACTGGAGGCGCGTCGCGCTCTGCGAGAAGTCGATTGGCCATTTCTTCCACACCACTCAGCCGGGGAGGAAATGATCGCGCATCTAGGTCGAGAATATACTCAACTATTGTCTTCTCTTCTAAATCTGATAAATTCCGTGAATTAGGCATGCTGTCGCGTCGTGAGACTATTCCCTTTAGTCGCCGGCTTAATGTTGCGTGACTGACTGTATAGAGTGCACCTGCGGCCCGAGCACTAAGTTTTGGGTCATTTCTCATTGCTTGAAGGGCAATTTGTAACCTTCTTTCAATACTAGCTGATTCCATGATTTATTGTAGAGGAAAAGGTGCCGGTCGCGTCAAGGTGCGACGGTCGCGGTTTACTGTCTCACTCGCTTGTCTGTCTCACTCGCTTATCATGTACGTTAGTAGGTATTAGTAATCTCTAATTATAGTAACTATACTATATATTTATAACGATAGAAATAAGGTATATATAATATATTAACTATATATAGTTACTATACAGAGAAAAGTAACTATAAACTAGTGATTTTGAAACTTAATAAAAAATTAGGACTTTTTATGAAGCTTTATTTTTCAACGAGTTAGGAACTACTATGCCGAGGTTTTAAGAAACGGACTAAATAAGTAAATTCGTTATAATACTAGAGTAGTCTTTAGCAATGCTATTAATATATATGGAAACTATACTGTATAAGCAAGCCTTGATGGGATATAAAATGTATTTCTTTGATTTGTGTTCCTAGCCTACCGGCGTACCCTGCCTAAGATAAACTTCTTTGCTACAAGCGACTTCTTTAGGTAAAATTAGGCACAGTTCCTTCCCGTGAACCTCGAACTCCATTAACCCAACCCAGACCTGGTTTTGGTCTCTGTTCCTCCATATTTGGCCACCATGAGGCTTCTCGATACCCATTAAACCAATCCAGGCTCTCGTGAGGCTTTGGATGGAAAAGACACATATCCCAATGCCACTGCGCGGCGTCAAACCAGTGTTCGACGGAAGCGCATCTTTTAACCTTGCACCTATCAAAGAGGATACCATACTGATACCACCAGTTTACGAGTTGTTTTCGATTATCGATCAATGGATACGTGCACCAGCTTCCGCGAACAATTGGAAATTGACCCTGCGGACCGAAGCCGGGAGGTGGTATGCTTGTCTTAGCACACTTTGTCATGCATTCAGGAAGTGCAGCCCAGTCCAGCATCCTATCTCGACCTATCTGAAGTGGCAGGACTGGCCATTCCTTGGACGAAGCCTGCGCTGGTATTGAAATAATCAAAATAACAAGCAGCCGCTGTAGACATTTTGTTTGAGTCATTGAAAGAAACAAAAGGGTGTGACAATCTGGTCTGATAAAAGAAACAAGTCAATTTGCGCGACGTATCAACTAAATCATAACAAAATAGTAAAATTTATTATTACTTTGTAATATAGAGACTGTTTATACTTATATTCGAGCTATCAAGGTATGATTTTAGTCTTTCTATAAAAGTTTATTTATATAAGGTTATAGTTAACCACGGAATTCAATATCTTTAGTATTAAATTATAGTTGGTATTTCTTAAGTAACTAAAATCGTTATATACTTTATTTATACTTTAGTTTAGTAAACTATCCAAATTAATATTCGTTAAATATCTTGAATAAAGCAACCTTCGGAATTAACGTTTGAAATAAATTTATTTTATTAAGATGTTTAAGTAGCGGCACCCACCTGATATTTCAATAGGTACTGATAAAGAATTAAAAAGGTATTTACAAATCAGTACTCATTAATGATTTCACTACTTTTTTTCGCTAGTAAAAGCATATCTACTCTTATTTAAGTTTCTAAAGTTTTAAAGCTATTAATTCTGTTTTAATTACTAAGTTTAGTAGGTAAGTTTAACTACATCGGATTAGTAAAGAACAACAGAACATTTGCTAAGATTTGCTTAAGTTTTGTTTAAAATTTTATTTTGTCTCCTGCAGCTGCTTTATGCCACGAAATTACGATCCTCATCCAGAACCTAGGAGTGGCCGTTACCTTGATACACCTGTTCTTGGCGAATTAATACCATGGTGCTTTTATAGAAAGATTTGGTTAAATTAGGTGCTTTAGTATTCTTCTTCAGCTTAACGGATTGATTGAGTTTGGAGGGTTCACCGTCTCACATAATACTACTAGAAGAGAGAATTACCTAGTAAGCCTGGGATATGTTGCATCTATAGTTTATGCTAATTCCAGCCTCAAAGCATCATACTGAACATAGAGCGCGTCAGGCAAAAGCGCAGTTTCCACACTACTGGCGTTGAATGGCAAGCTCAAAGTTAGTTCGTTTTGTCCCTCCCTCAGCGCTGCCGACGAGAAAATGAATTTGTTCTCAATATTCTGGCACGAAATGCCGCTTCTCACTCCGCAAGATCCACTCCGCCAGTAAGGGATAACCCATGTTGATTCGTATAGCCCATTGAAATTAACCGTCCAAGGTAAGTTCCCAAAGGGTTGAATTTCCGTCCATTTAGTGTTACCATTGGCAGTTTTCGTACCAGCGATTTGGACCGTAAATGTAGCTGTTTTGGCTCGGCTTAATTGGTCTTTTTGAAGGTCAAAGGTAATAGTCCAGTTGTTTACATTTTCGTAATAATTTTCTTGTCGTAAATGGTTACCTTTTGCTGGGAAAAAAGACCAGTGAATATAGTTAAGATCTTCAGCTTCCTTGCTTTTGCCCACATCGAAACGTACACCCTCAGGGAAATCTTTTTCGAAGTCATATTTTCCCCAGTAAATACGATATTGTTCCGGCTGTAAAGGCTTCGAGGTATCTGGGGCGTATCCATGAAGATACTCGCCGGCTGACTTATCAGGAATTCCTATACGCCATACCTCTTCACCAGCACTTTCTTCGAGCCATTTGAATATCCACTTGTCCTGGTTGGTCAAGGCTTGAGTTATCTCGACATCATCTTGAATGAACCATCCGAAAATGCCATCAGCATAGATAGTAACCCTGTATTTCCCCTCCACGACGCGAGGAATTCTGAACTTTCCGCACCCGTCAACCTCAGCCCAATATTGAAGAGACTTAGTATCGAAAGCGTTCAGTTGGAAGTCTTGATTGTTCTCTGACAGAACAATGATTGGTTGATGGGCCCCCTTTGGAAGCTCAATTCGGCCCTCGAATGTACTACGCCGCGTCGAAGGAACGAAATTTGGAATGTAAGGAGCAATACTGTCGTAGAAATCTATGTTCCATTCGGGATCAGCAAACTGAGCTGCGTCAGCCCTCAGCTCGCCAATTGATGTGCTCGGTGCCCCTTTGTTGAAATAATAGAACTGCGGACCCCACGTGCGATCAAAACCGTGAGTGATATTTGGGTGTGGTGCACCATAATGACCCGACACCATGTAGTTGTAAACAATGCCATCAACTACCAAATCAGAATGAATTGGACCACCGTAATAAGTCTCTCGTGTGTTGTGAACAAGCCATGCGCCAAAGGTACTCCCATCGGCGCTTGTTGAGCCATCACTAAAATGTCCATGGACATCATGATTGCGCCATGATTCAGCCAAGGTATATTTCGTAAAATAATCCGAATATTGTTCTGTGTAAGGATCGTCCGTGACACCTCCTACATACGAGGTGGCATCTTGTACCGTCACTGCCTTTGAGAAAGTGCTGGACGCTGGCAAGGGACCAAAATTGCCTTCACTTGTAGAGAAGTGGGTCCAGAGTGGCGTATTGGGTCTGAAAAGTGTACGCAACTCGCCCAGCGAACGGAGATAAGGTCGAGTAGCATTAAAATACGTAAGACGAGAGAAGGCATGTAGTCCAGTCTCCTCACCACGAAGGAAAAAGTATTGCGACAGTGTCTGATTGGTCTGTACAAATGTGTCGGACATGATTATACCGCCGTATGGGGTGCCAGTCAAGTCGGTACCATTAACAAGCTGCAACTGGGCTGTTCCCCCTGGCGTCCAAAATCCTGAAGGGGTGCACGAGCAGTCGAGATAGGGCCCTTTTCCGCTGTTGCCGCTTAAAGGTCCAAGAAGATCTTGGCCATCGAGGGTAACATCAATGATATGGCCATTAGATTTGGCGAGGACCACAGAAAGACGATCATTTGAAAGCATGAGATGAGTGCTGTTCTCTCCTGTTCTGAGCCCAGCCGCCGCATGACAAAAGAATGTCGCAATGGCGAGAAGGTTTGAGTTCAAAGTGCCCCTCATGTTGTAAAGCCAGTGGCACAGATTGAAGAGCCCTAGAGTGCAACGGAAGCAGCACTGGACAACACAGCGAGTAGGCAATAATTTATCTCCCTGAGAAGTGTCATGATATCCATTGCCACCTTCCATTATAGGTCGCTGTGAGGAGCAACATAGACTTCACCGATTGAATGTGCGCCAAAATGAGAATAGCCCGTGGACAACTACCCCGTGAAGCGAAGTGGAAAAATTTCGGGTAATGGAAAGCCGAGCGCCAAGAGAGATTCGCACAGATTTACAATAAGGGCACCAATCCCAAGATGCCATTCTCCACTACTGTTATGGTACGATTGCGGGGAGGGAAATACTTGAACTTTAAGCGACTTGTCCCGCATCTTTCTGGTACTTTTGGTCTTTCGGGTCAAGAGGGGGCGCAAGATCTTGACATCTAAAATGTGAATAATCCTTTGAAGTACGGATAGCTAAACGTGGAAGCCCACCCGCAGGAAAAATAGATTGAAAACATTGAGCTAAGACATGATTTTAGACTAATCGAGAAGTCAGTGACACACAAAATCAGATAATGCATCGACGCCAAGCTTTTATTATACACTACCAGCATGGCTCTACCATCAGTTGTCGGACCAAAATATGATCCATGGTCTAGCGATACCGCTTTCACACATGAGAATTTATTTCAAATGGGAAATTATAAAGGGGATATTGTTCTCCGCTTGATTTATCATCTTTCACTCTGTGAGCTTCTCTATTAGGTTTTCTCCTCCAACCCTTCCTGGAGGCTTATTTACCGACGAAAAAGGGGAACTCAACCACCACTTCAAAAACATCCTAATAGCTAGGAGTCTAGCTTTAAAGCCAGAAACTGGCTTTTCTAAGTGGCTTGATTGGCTAGATTTTGCTAGGCACGGGACTCTTTCTTTGAGACAAAAGATACATCCTGAAAACTGGCTTTTTCCCATACAAAGCCACTTTTCGTTCACACAATAGATACATGAGAATATGTCTCAAAGTTGTCAATGTAACTGAATATGTACACAAGCCAGTTTTCCAGTGGGAAAAACTGGCTATAGTACTGTTACGACCCGTTGGACATGGTCGCCAACACGACCCCGCCTGGATCCCGGCGGCTAACGCAGGGCATATGTAACCCAGCCGGACAGGTGTAACCAGGGATCCTCGGAACGGAAGAACTATGGACAAGTCACGTGGCCTCGGGGATAACGCGGGGTAAGGACAACCCGGGCTGGATATGTTGGATATGTCAAATATCCAACATAGCCAAGATAAGGAGGACCGTTCAGGACTTGTATATAGGATGGACTCGAGCCGGGCTCGAGGACAGACTTCCATAGCTCTTCAGCAATCAACTTTGTGATTACCCTAACCGGTACTTTCAGCTATACCTAAGTGACGACTACTCTACGACTCTTGTTGAGGCCTTGACTGATCACCAAGACCTTTGAAGATCTACGATCTATTCGACCAGGACCACGGAACGACTGTTACTACTCTCAATCCCTGGCTTACTGTTAACACAAACCCACTGTCAGTTAGCTGGCCGTAACACTTTGATTGCTCCTGTTCAGTAAGTCACCTTTTGAGAACTACTAAACAGTATAGACAAGATGTCTTCTCGCGCTTCTGCCAAATCACCCACTCCAGGATCCTCATCCTCTTCGCGCAACCAGCCTTAGAGCCTCGCGCAGGAGCCCGCCAACACTGAGGACTTCGACATGCCGGACCTCAAGTACGACTCCGATAGAGATAGCTCTTTCACCAAGGAAAGCTACGATAAGCTCCGACGCATAATCCAGAAACAAGAAGCCGAGACAAAAGACATGCAGAAAATCGTCAACGAAAACCGACAAGCAATGGAAAACCTTAACGAGCAACTCCAGCACGCTGGACAGGCCTACAAGAAGCTGGAAGAAGACATCAAGGGGGACGCCAACCTCCGGAAGATCCAGGAACTCCAGGGGGAAATCACCACCCTCCGGGCCGCCGCCAACATCGTCACCACGCCCGTCCACGGAGGACGACAAAAGCTCAAGCTCAGTGCGCCTGTCACCTACGACGGAACCTAGGGTTAGGGTTAGGGTTAGGGTTAGGGTTAGGGTTTAGGGTTAGGGTTAGGGTTAGGGTTAGGGTTAGGGTTAGGGTTAGGGTTAGGGTTAGGGTTAGGGTTAGGGTT